TTAGGGGTTCAGGGTTTAGGGGTATTCTTGTACACAAATATGCTAGATTTTTATAGTGGTATAATTGTAACTCCTAAGTTTCCACCATACTGTGCAGTATTACATACGATGCTGGTTAGGTGCTCCGAAGCAGCGCGGGTCCTTCGTCATCACGGCTTCCTGCTGCATCCAGCCCTTCTGTGCTTCTTCCGTGGGTGTGCTGAACTCGACCTGTCACACTGTTACGAACCTGACATGCCTGCATCAACCGATTGAAGGCCTTCACTTCCTCAGGGAAGTCACTCCGATGGTCTTGCAGTCGATGCAAGAAACTACGATGAAGATCAGAAACCTCGGTACGGCCGGTTTGCAGCTGAGGGTTTTGGGCCGATGCTGGTGGACAGCGGTGCCCAAAATGAGCTGTGCGCCCGAGAGATCTGCAACTCACACCAATTGTTGTAGTGGTCGCCTGGCCACCGCAATTGCACCCACCAACACTTACTCGTACCCAGTCTTGCAAGCGATAGCCTCGCCTGCTTTGGGAAGTCCTGGATATTTCGCCGCAAGCGAGCGCAAGTCCTTGCATTGGATCATAGCCTTTCAGCGCTTCTTCGCAGGACTTACCTGCAAGCGTAAGCACAACAGATGGCTCCTCGCGAAATTGCTGCTCTTCATTCAAGAGGTCTTCGGCAAGCGCCTTACCGATTCATAGACTGCAGCGATGAAGGCTAAGTCAGAAGCTAAACCCTGAAGCCCATAAACCCTAGACCCTGGACCCTAGACCCTGAACCCTCAACCAGAAACCCTCAACCTTTGACCTAAGCAGCTGCTATGACGGCGGAGCTCACAACCCACCCCTCCCGGCTCCCAGTCAGAGACCTAGAATATGTCGACCCATCAGACAATTACAGGGTTCAGGGTTTAGGGACTCCCTGACAGCCGCAATTTATGATGCAACGTAGGGCGAAAGACACTGGAACTGGAATTGGATTCACGCTTGATCCTGCGGTTGTGCTCATTTAGATCTGCTTCGCCTCCAAGACTGGACACGACGAACACCCAGGGTAGAAATCGGCTAAAAGCAAATCTCAGCACTGAGCAGAAAGTAGCGACTTCAGCTGAGCAAATCACGCCAGCAGCAGATTTGTAGGAGAGCGGGTCGGCAGAAGCCGCTACAACCTCCAAAGAGGTTTAGGGTTTCGGGTCTCAGTGCTCTCGTACCTCAAACTAGCCTGTACTGGCCTTCAAGTACTCGGCATCACGGCCCAACTCCAATCGGAGCCTGGGTCTTCTCTAGTCGACACACTTGAAGATAGGAAGGGGTCTGAAGCAAGAGAGACAAGGCAGAGACGTGTTGTTCTCATCAGAAAGCAGCCGCACTTGCTCAACTGTCGAAGAGTCATTTGCCACGCTGGCACTTGACAGGCCGTGACTCCGTGCTTTACATGCACAGAATGCACATATCAACTTGCATGGATGCCTTCATGGTCTAGCTGCTTCACCAACGCGATGATTTTCTCCTTATAGCCAACACTGGGGCCAACACGGAGTCTGATGGAGCTGCCAGGCTGTGCAAAGGTGTAGGGTGCCAGCCGATTTATCTTTGATGGTGCTTTGGTGCTGTGCGCAGCGCGTCTCTAGCTGCCTGCGGAACAGTGGAAGTCGCGAGGGGCACAGGTGTATTGGTTTCACTATGAGGGTAGTTCTCGAAATTAGGGTCCCTTCTTTAGGTCCCCAATATAGTACGGCACCCTTATAACCAGGACCCCAAAAGGGACCGTATTTTAGAGAACTGCCCATGTAGGGATCACTCTTGGAGGTTCATGGATAGTTATAATTGGGGTTATAAGTCCCCTAATAGGGTTCTAATTATAGTTACCCTACTTATAACCCTACTTATAACTAACCATGAACCTCCAAATATGATCCCTTATAGGACCCCTTATAGAGCCCTTGTAGAACCCTCTCATAGATCCCTTAAAGGAGGCTTATAACTACGCACGAACCTCCAAGCTATGAAGGGAAAAGGGTGATGACGCAGCGGCAGCACCGGCCGCCTGGAGCTCGTCCGCAACTCCTCGAGCTCAGCTTGCAGTTGCTGAACCTGACAGGTACAGAGGATGACATTGACCAATGTTATGTTAATCTATATTACTATGTCTATATATATATATATTTACTTACGTATGATAATATGTATTAATATTCTTGCAAGCCTCCGAAGTGCCTCTCTTACCCATCTTTTGCACCGGGACCGGGCCTCCATTTTGGAGCTTTGCAGCTCATTCTCCTGGAATATGGCAAGAGCACCCACTAGCTCAGAAGGACATGAATAGCACGTGGCTCCGGATTGATATTGCCCTGGAGTTGCTTTGCAACTTAGGCGCCTTGGCTCTCAGCAGCTTGAACTCAACCAGCTGCTTCTCCTCCTTCCAGGGTCATGTGATTTGCTTCGATGCTGAGCATCACGACTGCCTCCGGCACCACTACCACCAGCACGAGTCGCAATATCGCTATGATGATGCGGATGCTGATGATGATGATGATGTTGTTGATGATGATGCTGCTCAGCATCACCATCACCGACATCGACATCGACATCGACATCAGCATCATCGTCGTTATCGCCATCATCATCACCATCATCACCATCATCATACTCATTTTGTTGTCACACACGTCATTGTGATTGTCATCATTGCTACTTACTTACAATTATGCTCACCATCACCTTCATGTCGCGTTCGGCACCAAATGACCGCAAATGAATGTTATATTTCCAAACACGCTTGCGCAAGTCAAGGGCCGGACCTCTGACTTCAACTTCTGTGCCTCTCATTCGTAGAAGCGTGATGTCCGACATGACTGGAAAACACCTACTTTGCATGGGCAGCTTTGGTGCCAGCACCTCAGCGAGATCTGCACGCAAGCGGCTCATTTCGCCGTGTCCGGCCTGCATCAACCCGAAGGGTCCATGTACCCAAATAGTATATACTTTGGCCTTAATGTAGTCCCTATATAGGTACTTTAGGGCCAATGTATATACACTGTTTGGGTACATGGACCCTTAGGGCAACACATCAGCGTGCAAAAAAGAGGGTCGCAGCTCTGTTTGCAGCTGGTGACGTCCCGTCCGCAAGCTTTGCCTCAAGCTGATCCTGCAAAGCAGCAATCTGCCTCTGAGCCTGACAGGGGCTCGGCTCCACGCAAAGTATATCGGCTCGGCATATAGTTTAATTTAGTACTATATTACATCAATCAATATATATATATATATGTGTATATATATATACAAACAATCTAATGAACATCTATGATACAGCGATCCACTCCAGCCTCCTCCAGCTCCGGCCGGCCCTGCACCGCATGGACCTGCTGTCGGATCAAGGGGCTCAGTTAAGTCGGGGAACTAGGATTATAACCCATATTATACGAAGATTTGTTATGGTCCGGCTGTACTTGGAGGTTCATGGGTAGACGTAGGGTTTTAGGTGGGGTAACTATAATAAAAAGCCATATTAGGGGACTTATAACCCTACTTATAACGACCCATGAACCTCCAAGTCGGTAACAATTCCCTAAGGGTCCATGTGCCCAAATCGTCTATACTTTGGCCATAATGTAGTCCCTATATAGGTACTGTAGGGCCAATGTCTATACTAGCTGGGCACATGGACCCTTAAGGGAACCTGCTATCATTAGGATGACGTGGTTTATCAGGGTTTAGGGTTTAGGCTTTAATTGCGGTGGATGATATAAATCCTGCATTACCCATACTCAGCAATATACCATAATTTCCATGGTTTAGGGCCCTCAAGGTAATGCAGGATTTATATCATCAACAGTAGGATGACATTGTTTAGGGTACTTATAGACTTATAGCTCTGCCCAAGCTTGAGACAGCGCCAGCTCCAAACGAGCAGGAACCAGGAGCCGCAAACGAGCAGGAACCAGAAGCCGCGTCATTTTTACTGCGGCCCTTTCAGCCGAATGTCAATGGCTCATCCTACATCACAGACGGCGGCATCTGTTTCGTTGCCACTGTCATTAAGCAGTTCCTGGGAAAGGAGGAACTCTTCTGACAGGCGGCGAAGGCCGTTCCCGGATATCACGGATGTTGTCCTGCGGGCGAGGAGCTGATCACGGATTTGAGGCTCCGCCCCGTCCTAGAAAACCAAAACGTTTCAGAAAACAAAGGCGCCCCATGTAGAACCAAGTAAAGCAACCGCTAATTTCGAGAACCTCCCGTGTGACGCCAAGTGGCCTTGGGGGTGATCCTGGCAGGGCTGACGGCCTTGCAGGCATTTCTTTCTCAGGTGCCGTCTCTGCATATGAATCATGCACCTTTATCATCCTGGCAACGAAACGCCTGCAATCGCAACTCGAAGCCGAGAGGCCTTGGATGGAGGACTCCGGCCCGCACCCAAAGCGTGCATGTTCAGTCGCACAGGTGTGCAGGGAGCGCTTGGAGGACTCTTCGCTGCTCCGGAGTTCCGCGGGCTGGCCGCCTCGTTGTCCTCCAGGGATACCATACCGGGAATTAGACGGCTACTACCTTAATTAAACTAACTATATAGATGGACATAGAAAAGTCCAGTACGTCATCAACATGACAATGACTGTGCAAACATAAGAAGCGCAATTATTCACAAACGCAGAGAGAACTCACTAAACTTACAGATTGGCAAACGCCACACACACATACAGAAGAACGCACGTTACACACAGATAGTCGAGTAAGTCGGCCTGCGCAGCGCGCAAAGGTGACTCTTCCGCCGGCGCATGCTCTCGCGTATCGGCCCCGTTCGTAGAGATGCCGCTCGCGGCCAAGATGTTTGGGACCTGAGGTTCCCAAAGCGCCAGCTTCGAGGATTGCAGCTCAGCAGTGATCTGGCTCCTTAAGGCCAGGTGCGCAGCGCGGGAGTCTTGCATCGACCTCCGGCCTGCAAGCAGCTCCTCCATGGCCGACTCCAGCTGCGCAACTCCCAGATCCCTGGGCACGTCGGGCGCAGGGCTCGGCGTCAGACCCTTCGCGGCCTTTGCACGGGAGGATTTGATGTTGCTGAGGTGCTCGGAGACCCGATTGTATGCCTCTTGTGCACGCGCCAGGTGCGATGGCAGGAAGTGATCCGCCAGGTCGCTCCCGGCGGCTCCAGAAAGGTCGCTGGACACGCTGCTTATAGCTGCAGACAACATGGCTGGCTGCACTTGCTCCTGCTTCGAAGCTTTAGCTTGCATGTGTTTGATCTTGTTGCATGTGTGCCAGGGATGGTTTTCTTCTTTTTTCTGCTCGCTTGGTGGAGCCAACTGTTGATGCACTACCGGTCACTTACCCTATTCAGGCCGGTCTGTGAACACCCTTACTTGGAGGTTCATGGGTAGTTATAAGTAGGGTTATAAGTAGGGCAACTATAATTATAACCCTATTAGGGGACTTATAACCCCACTTATAACTACCCATGAACCTCCAAGTACTCTGAGCAACACTACAGCTGAGTCGAAGAATGCCTCGAGCACCTTCTCCACGATCCGCTGCAAGTCCACTGCGCACATTGCTTCTGTCGGCCCACCTTGCCACGCAAAAGGACTCACCCTCCGACAGGCTGCTTCTATGGATATGGAGGGTACTACATGACTCGGATACCACAAGGGTACTTCAACTGGTACTATACAGGAAACATGCACATGCAACCAATTTTGATGAGCAAAGGCATGGCTTTGTTGCGAACTTAGCGATCTGTGCAAGGGCCTTGGCAGCGCGTCCGGTCGCTTGTAGAAGCCTCCTGCACTGAGATGTCACTCTTCGGGTGCACATCCCGGTTTCATCGACTCCGCTCGCATCAACGGCCCATTAACGGGAAGTGCGGTCCGTAGTTTGCTTATGTTTGCTCGTATTCGTCTTCTTGTTTTCCTTCTTCGGGACAGTTGCTTTGGCTATCCTGCATGCCATGGCTCTTTGTTCCCTTGTGAGACAAACGGTTCTCTTTCTGCGCAGATCAAGAGATAAATCAGATCACTTCGCAACATTGGTCAGTCAGTCTGCACCTCGCTTCCAAACACGGTGGCGACGTGTGAAGCCTGACAGCGGCCAAACAAGCAAACAGGAAAGCATAAGTTTTTCAGGAAACATGATGTTGCACATGTGGAGGGAATCTGAACCGCATGAACAGTCGTTCCTGCCACGTCTCCATGTACTGCCGAATGCTGGATGCGGTGGCCCCAACCTGGCCGCCACAAGGCATAAGTCTTGGCAACAAGCAAGGAGCAATGGACTGATGTTCTGAATCCAGATCCCTTCCAAGAGGCTCTCAAGACAACACAGCTACACATACTATCATCCTAGGCTATGATATTCTTTAATACACTGTAGCATACTGTGATATAGCACCATAAGAAATTATAACACATACTATATCTATCTATCATCATCGGAAATCAGGGCCACAAGTAGGAGCCGTCTGAGCTCAGAGCGCTTGCGCGCTCGGCTTCCAGATCTTTCTGCATTTCCCGCACCAGCTGCTCCAAACGGCAGACGTCCTTCAACTAACGTCGATGATGAGGGTTACTATAGTATGGATTCCTATCAAGGCCACGAATACCTGAATTTTACAAGGGTGAACAGGATTGCACACCTACCAAGGTGAAAGAAGCCTAGACGCTAGTTCAGAGTTTAGTCGCTTTGTTATTCCGTCCTTGGCCGTCTCGGTTTCTTGACCTCACGGAGGGGACGAACAGAAGCGGTTTCAGTACTGAAAGCGCAATCCAAAGAGCTCCAGGCACCAGGCCAAACAACTCTTGCATTTCGGATCGAAAGTTCTGCGAAAGAGCCTGCAGAGTCAAGGTTGGTCTTCCTGAGGCCGCTGGCGAATATCTTACCTCGAAGCGCTTCAGCATTTGTCTTTGAACCTTCGCTTTCTCCGAATCCTCGGTGCACATATGCGGCAAGGACAAGGAGCCCGATCGCGGCTAAGCTGGCCACGACATCCTCATCCCCATGGAGTGGCCTTCTGTCAGATGCGTTGGCTCATGGTGCAGAGGCACGGCACCTCACTTACCGGGACCACCGCACATCCGATGGAGCTTCCACCGGCAGATCAGCATTGTGACCATGCCCATCCGCGGGGCTCTCCTCGCATCCAGTTGCATGTCTGGGCGTGCTCCTTTCCACCACATGCCAGTGGACACAGTCGCACTGTGAAGACGAGGCACCGCCATTTTGGCAGAGTGCACGGCGGAGGAAAAACGTGCTGCAGACTGAAATACAAGCTCTTTGCTATATCGCACCCAGGTTGTGGCTTCTGGCAGACAGCTCATCACGTGCAAGAGCTTCTTTTTCATCAAGCAAGAACAAATCAAGCCATGCAAGTATCCTCTGCGGTGGCATGCCGCGAGCTTCTACATTCGCCTGGCACTGCTTCTTGCAGCAGTCTGCCTTCTTCTACTGCTGGGCGACTTCACGCCGAACCGAAGGCATGGAGATATCTGGAGAGCATTCTGCCACGCCAAAGGGACCGCGAGCTTGGAGTGCTGATGCTGCCTCTACTCCGCTGAGACCAGTCTGACCGATGCTTCTAGCTAGTCTTGCATCTCACTGGAAGGTGGATCAGGGCCTCCACGCCCCTGCCGCGCAAAGAATGCTGCTGTTATCACTTATCACAGGGGAAAGTGTGCAAAGGGCTCTTCAGCTCGCAAGTATCTATGCCAAGTTCTTCTCAGATTCGGTACTCTTGGCCGCGGCCAGCCCCGCGGACGAGCGATCCATTCTAAGGACCGAGGATGTGCGTCTGCCCGCTTTCTACCACCCGCCCCGAACCCGGGGTGGACCCTTTTCAACCCATAGCGCCCTGTCAAAAATATGCAACTCCATTCCATCCTCTCCGGACACATCAGTCTCTTTCAACTAATGTAGGGGCCTTGATAATTCAAAGAGGGTTTTGGGGGGTTCCTTATACTAAGGGGTTCCTAATAATAATACCCCCAAATCCTATTCTAAGTATTAAGGCCCCTATATTACCGGAGAACATTCACTTCAACCTTGCACTGCTGCTGGGGGCGCCTGCACGCAGCTCCAGACAAGGCCTAGCCCAAGCAGCCCAGCCTGACACAGCATGTGTGGCGATGGTGGCACTCGGTGAGGCATCAGTAGCAGATACAGTTAAAGGAGTAGCAGTAGTGAGGAATCGTGGTCGTGGCAGCAGTAGCTATCAATAGCTGGTACCAGCTAGCTAGCAGAAGTAGTAGTAGAACTAGGAGCAGCAGCCGTCGTCGTAGGGGTAGAGGTCGCAGTACCAGCCGGTCCGAGTTACCAACGAACCGTGTTCCCAAGTTGGAGAATGTTGACACCGTCGGGTGGCGCTGGAAGAATGATGTCGTCCATCCGCAGTCAGAACATGACCAAAGTTCTTGGTGAGTACAGGTATCGTCGTGCTTGGCGCAACTCGGGTACACATCTTGCACTCAGAACAGTGCACTGCGCCGTCCAAAGCGAGAAGGGTTTCAAGTAGTTGCTTGCTTTGCTGGGCATCTGGACATCTGGCACTGCAAAACCGCGGAACCCTAAACCCTAAACCCACGATGCAGGGCAGCAGCGAGTGTCGGATGGCTCGTGTGAGAATCCTACCGAATTCCTATAACGCCTACAGCCCCCAACCCTAAACCCTAAAGCCCCAAACCCTAAACCCTCAACCCGAAAGAACCCGAAAGCCCTAACCTCTAAACCCCTCTAGATCCCGTATAGAACCCTGTAACAAACCCTTGTACATCCCGTGAAGGAACCGTATAAAGAACCTAAACGCACTTGAGGCCCCAGCGCCAATGAGCATGGCTTGTGGCAGTGCCGCGGAACCGGCGCCTGGGGTCACACGAAGGTTTCAATACATGACATAGAACATTGAAAATACCAAGAACAATAATGGTATAATCTAGTATCGTATGATATAATGTAATGTAATGTAATGTAATGTAATGTAACATCCTACGAAGTAATATATTACAATATACAACTAAGAATAGTAACAATCATCATTCTACTACTGTTAATTTTAAGAGTATGGAACATGTAACATAAAATCTATAACCTATAACCTGTAAACCATAACATACAACAACGGCCAACTATAAAACATGTTGACATATGTCACATGCAATATATATATATATATATACACACGACATATTGTGTGATGTGCAAAATATACAGCAACCAACATATAACATATAATGTGGGTCCCAGAGAGGTCTGACAAAAAAACGGCGTCAAATGCCCGAGGCTGGAGCGGTCGATGAGCTCATGATGAGTCGACCCTTCCTGGGCAGACATATGTATGCATATATGTATGTGTGCGTATAGATATATATATATACATGTACATGTATGTATGTATGTATATGTATATGTATATGTATATGTATATGTATATGTATATGTATATGTATATATATACATATAAATAAATAAATATATATATATATATGGTCGCCCGCCCCCTCCCCACCCCCCACCCCCGCCCCAGCCTTCTAGCCATCTGTTCGTCCACAGTCCTATGTCTCCAAACGCTTTCTCCGAGGTCCAGAGACCATCGGTATTTACTGTGGTTTCTGCACTTCACACCTGCTGACCTCTGCTTACTGTGCTTGTTTGTATGTGTAAACCACCCAAAACCCAAACCAGAATCTGGCTCTGCGTCTGCGATAATTGGAAAAAACACTCGAGCCTCGCTCAACTAACAATGACGCTGGAAACCTCGGTTGTTTCTGCGTACTTGCTGTTGTTGTCATTCATCAGCAAGTCTCCTTCATCTCCAAGAAGCACAAGAAGGATCCTCAGTCCCTGTCAGTGGCGAAAACTCAACGAGCTCTTACAATCTGCCAACATCACAGTTTTACATACCGATGGTTCGGGAAAGATCTAGTCTCAGTCCACCATTCTCCAAATACGTTCGATCAGAGGTAAAGTGTGTCGAGCTCGTTACGCTTTGTAACACGAATGGAACATCTGCTCGCTTGTTTATATCATGTGGAATGAAACACTAACAAGTCAGATTTTCGCTTGCTGGCAGCAAGAACAAAAGCAAAGACCAAATAAAGATCAATCTTTCTTTTCCTCATAAGAAATTTGGAAGTATGCCGGTTTACCTTTTATGCTTCGTGGGAGTTAAGAGGAAATGCATCTGGAAAGCGTTCGTTGTTCCTCACTTAGCAAGAAGCAAAAGACCACTTGGTTCATGCAAACAAATAACCAGACTCATTCGCCTTGCTAGCAGCGATTGAACCAAGAGCGTTGTTACATCGTTCAACAGGACATGAAATGGTTCCTTCCTTCTCGCCTAAGCCTCTTCCAACTATATTCATTATAAAAAACTCTTCTGTCTCTCCGTAATCACAAGACAGCACAGAGCTCAGCCTTGTCAAACCATGAGCAGAAACAATCAAAGGCTCCTTCAGTTGATATTCCAGAAATACAACAGCATCATTGTGATTACTCATAGATGCCAGGATTTGATTGTTAGTGTGTCTGTGTTGTTGTTATAACAATCACTGTTACTATTTATCGTTACTACTATTGTTGTCATTCTTTCCAAGTATGATATTATCGTTGTATTGGCAATATTGTTATTTTTCGTAGTACTGCTGATGGTGGTGAGGTTACATGTTGTCCCTATTGCCTCTTGTTCTTGTTCCAATTTTAGTGGCAGCAGTACCAGTAGTATTGCTGTGGCTAGTAGGTGTTCTTGTTGTATAGATGTGGCTGAGTTTTGCAATCTGTCGAGGCCTTGATTCTGTATTAATCTATAGTGCTTCGCTCATAGATAAGGGAGCTGGACATGGGTTGCTACCGGGACAAGGACTTTGAAAGAAATGTAACATCCCTGCCGATGTTTTCGCATCTGAGGTTGCCAGAATGCTGCCAGGCTCAAATTTCCCAAAATGTCTAAAGCCTGAGATGCGAAAACATTGGCAGGAATCAAATTTCACCAAAAGCCCTACAATCGTGGTATCCGTGGGGAAAAGGCTGCCAAGCTCAAATTTCCCCAAAATTCCTGAAATCCTGGCATCTATGGGGAGTGCGGGGGCGGATAGTTTTTGGGAATTTGGGGGAAATTTGACCCCTGCTAGTGTTTTCGCATCTGAGGTTGTCCACCTCCCGTGATCCACTACTTGCAAAAAGCAAGCTTGGGTGGATCAGGGGCAGGGGGGGGCGTGAGAATGAATTGTTGTGTGTATACATATATATATATATATATGATTGTATGTGTATCCTCTATCTACCTATATCTCTACGTACCTACGTACCTACGTACCTACCTACCTACCTACCTACCTACCTACCTACCTACCTACCTGCCTATCTGATATAACAACGTGTGTACATAACATATGACATATGATATATGGGTAGTGGTCAAAATTATGGTCCCTTTTGGGGGTACCCTAAATAATAGGTGCCGTATTATGATAGGGACCGAAAAAGGGACCATAATTTTGACAACCACCCATATTGATCATAGCCACAACTGCGCTGAAGGGAGCAGAGGGGAGAGACATCGACGTGGGCACGTTCTGAGACCGCAGCCGCCATCTCCCCGTTGCGAATCCTCATCTCCCGCTCGGAGCCTGTTATTACGGGTTTAGTGTTTAGGGTTTAGGGGCCCTCAAACTAGAATCATGTGGCATATTCTGATGGTATAGTATGGTATATTGTGGTATCTCACAGTATGCTACAGCATATTATGGCGCCTGCCACCATAGCAGCCAGGCCCTTCTGCGCATTCCTGGCCGCATGATTGAGGACAGTTCCCAAAAAAGGCAACTGCCCTCAATTTCCGGAGACAGAATCTGGAGAGAGAAAGACTGAGGAATCTCAGACGCCAGGCCTTTGGCAAACACCAGCAAGGATCTCACAAACCTGAGAATTGTGGCGGCTGGTCATCTTCGACTCGGGATAGACTCTCTGAGTTGTAGAGGGTTTTTTTTGCACAGCTGCGTAGAGTCACTTCGTACTTCGCACTGTAAGACTTCGACCATTGGCATCAGCAAGCCGCTCAGCAGGCCCTTCCTGTACCTCGCAAAAGCTGTTCACTTATCTGCAGATGCTCTTGGATGTCAGTGCCTGACAGTCGCCGATTGTGTGTACAGGGTCCGCCCAGGCTCCACCTAGAGGCGTGGGGCGAATCGTGTGATTGAGTGTCTGTGTGCTTTTGTGTTTTGAGTTAAAGGAGTCGGGGCATACGGTTGATGATATAAACCCTACATTACCCATTACAAGGAATATACCACAACTCCCATAGTTTAGGGCCCTGAGGGTAATGCAGGATTTATCATCATCAACAGTACAGTATTTACGGTGTCTGCTTGCTTGCAACACATCTCCTGCCTCGGTGTAGCAGCAAACCTCGTCGATTCTGAGCAGGCTCTGACCCGTCCTCAGAGAACCGGTCCAAATCAGGAGCAGAGTCTTTGAGGTTTGCGGTGGTATACAATGGTATATATATATATACTAAAAATAATAATCATAATAATAATAATATATATATATATATAGTGGTAATATCTTGGTAAGCCTTACGTTCATGCGTTGACTTTTCAGATCGTTGCAGACAGGTAGGCAGTTGTCAAAATTATGGTCCCTTTTGGGGTACCCTAAATAATAGGTGCCGCATTATGATAAGGACCCAAAAAGGGACCATAATTTTGACAACCGCCCAGGTAGGTCCCGGACTGGTTCCGGCCATGAACGGTGAGGCGACGCCTGCAGGGGTCCGTCTCTGGCCTTTGGAATGCCTCCGATGTGAGAGTTTCCGAAAATACGGGGAACCTTGGGTTTAGGGTTTAGGGTTTCGGGTTTAAGGTATTTTGGGGTCCTTATAATAAGGATCCTACTATTTAGGGTCCTATATCTTAGGGTTCATAATAAAGATCCTACTATTTCGGGTCCTATATTAGGGTTCCCTGTCTTCGGAAACCCCCATGTCTACGTGCTCTGACACAAGATGCCCTCGCTGGCCTTCCCAGATCCCAATGTGCCTGACAGGCACCAGACTGAGTGGAACAGCAAGGCTCATAAACTCTGCCACATGCCTCTTCTACGCAAACCACCGTCGCACGGGATCCAAGGCGCCTAGACGCAAGTACAGAGCTGACGGCAATAACAACTGGCACGAAACACAAGTCCTGATCCTGAGACCCGAGCTTTTCAGCAAATTTTGGAGTGCGGTACATGCCTAGCCAACACATCACTCCGCCCCGGAACCAGCACTGGCAAGGCTCCATTCAAGCAACAAGCTTGCGGCAGGCTGCAGTAGAATAACCTTCGTATGTCCATCGTCTGCTGTTCAACACCTGAGGATGTTATGAGTAGGCCAGTCAGCACGGAATGCGGCATGCGTGAAGACCAACAGCAAAGCAACTTCTAGCAAGCTTGCCGGCATGTGAACGGTGCTTGGGTATCCTTGATCGAACATACAGCGGCCGGGCTATCGAATGCTGGGTCGTGCACAGATTTTGCTGTTCACAGTCTCAACAGATTTCACCTCGCAGCATTGAAAGGTACAGTGGGCAGTGGAATGGGCTGACGATGCATTCACCGCTTGCGGCAACGCATGGATCCAGAATCTTGATTCTGCTCACGGCTATGTGGGGGTTTCCAAAAAGAGGGGACCCTAATATAGTACCCTAACTAATAGGTTCCTTATTATAAGGACCCCAAAATGAGGTACCCTAATTTTCGGAAAGTCCCATGTGCCAACCTGAAATCTTCAAGGGCCCGTGGCTTGCAAGCCTGGATTCTGCCCAGAGCTGTTAAGAGTATAGTATAGTCCATGATGATATTGCAAATGTTCGTATCTTCTGGAGTATAAGGATCAACTGGCAACCCTAAGCCCTCAACGCCTAACTATCCCTAAAACCCTATAAACCCTGAACCCTAAGCCTTAAACCCCCCAAGCCCTAGAACTCGACAGCTCTCCTTTCCCTGACTACTTGGAGGTTCATGGGTAGTTATAAGTGGGGTTATAAGTCCCCTGATATGGGTTATAATGATAGTTACGCTACTTATAACCCCACTTATAACTACCCATGAACCCTAAACCCTAAACCCTAAACCCTTAAAGGAACCCCCATAACCCTACTTATAACTACCCATGAACCTCCAAGTATGGCCACCCAGGCGCATATTTCAGGTTGGGATCCGGAAATTTCTGCAAGAAGGCGGCCGTCACAACACCCTGGGCGTACCACTGCACTGTCTCGAGTTTCAGGGCTTAGGGTTTAGGGTTTATACTAGATACTTTTATTCGATATTACGTATATTACGTATCATACATCGTTTTTCTTAGACTCTCTTATGATTAGATGAGCTATGGTTTCAACGGGGTGGCAAACAAGTTCGAGGTGGTCTGCGGTTCTTACATACGACGTAGATTGAGACGGACACCCGTGTGTCCCGCACAGAGCTATCAGATGCAACAATCGAGATATCATAAACTTGATGCATCTGCGAATGGGGATTCGCAACAGGCTAAGCTCCGGACCCAATCGTGTTCCAACAAATGCTGGTTGTTGTACAGTGGATGTGCCTGCAGGGCGACTGCAATGCCACTCCGACTTCACCCTACGCTATGGTAAACCACAATACATGGAGAAATATATATATATATACACACATATATTCTATATATATATATAGCATTATATAGCCACACATACATACATACATACATACATACATACATACATACATACAGACATACGTACACCCTCTATATATCGATATGCACATACATACATATATATATATATATATATGTCTCATTAATTCTATCTACACCCTGATTGATTAACCCAAGCGGCCTCGGAAAGTGACGCGCCATCGACGTTGGACATCCACACCAAGTGAAGAGGATCAGTGAATGGCCAGGCTGTGTTCTTGCATCTTCGTTTGAAGCAAACTTCAATCACTGCAGTAGACTTCCACACATCGAAGCGATGTGGGACCCTGTTGCTTTGCACAGCTTGGATGCAAAGCCATGCGAGTCAACCGTTGCACATGGTGGCAGGGAAACACATGGAGTTTGCAACCAGCTACATGTGATTGCTCAAACTGACCTTGAGCGAATCATAAGCGGCCTGTCACAAGCATTAGGTCCACGATTCTCGCTGGCACTTGATGAAACTATTGACAAATGTGAACCTTGGCCAAGTGCGTTGTGCTAGCACTCCAGATTATTGGCACAGGGGAAAGGACGCCTGTTCAAGTTCAGCCTCACACATCATTACGAAACAAAACAAAATCAGAGCAATCAGACACGACGCACAAGACGACTGCTGTCCAACAACCGGAAGCAGTACTGAGTACTTATAAGTTATAAGTATATAAGACGAAACAAGCTCGAGGAAAAGCTGCCGTCAAAATGGTTAATTGGCCGGAAGAGAAGAAGGAGCAATGTTTTCAATCCTCTTCACATGACATAGCGGTACAGTCGCAAGTCGCAAAGTTGACATGAACCAATCAGCATCTAGCAACGTCGATTGGGTATTCTTACAGCAGGGGGATCGTGCCAAAAGCTTTTCGACAATTGCACAGTCTTCACATAGACCGTGTGGGACAGCTTTGCCATCATGTAGGGACAGCTGCACGCTGACCACAAACCGAGGCTCAATGCTGTGTTGCCTGCAAAGTCGCAGAGGCTTGAATGGCTTAGACCTGGCCTTTAGGCTTCCACGTCGGGCTCCGGCCAATGTGTCGCCGAACATGGCATGGCCCCAGAGACAAAGCTGCAAACATGTCCAACCGAGACATGGGGCAGCCGATGAGGGAGTTGCAAGTACTACCTGTAGTCTCCATTGTAGTTCCTTTTTGGGGATAGCTTATAGAATCCTTAATATATAATTGGTTAAACCAAAAAAAGGAACTACAATGGAGACTATAGGTAGCATCAAACAGCGCTGGCTTGCGATTCGTCATGGTAGCAGCCTCGGCTGCTGCTCCGGCCCACGAGGGCAAGGCATGACACGCCATAGCAAGGCTCAGAACTTCAGCTTCGCAACCTCAAAGTCGAAAACGCAGCGTGGCGATGTTCTGCATTGACATCATTGACATCTCTGATCTTTCCGTCGCGTTCGGGTCTGAGAGGAACCGCAACCCCCAAAAACTGCTGCAAGGCAACGCTCATAGCAGCGACAGCCTGATTAAACATGGAGGAGCAGACTTCTCCCTTTGAGTCGCCAGAAATCTCGTCAAACGAGTTCACTGTGCATCTCAAGAACGGTAACGTTAACAGACTTGTCTTCGACAGGTCCTTGCGGATGCGATTCCGCAAATTCTACAATCTGACTCAACGAAGCTGGCGCCTGATCAATATCAGACTTGTCTTCGACAGGTCCTTGCGGATGCAATTCCGAAGATTGTAGAACAAGACTCAACGAAGCTGGTGCATGAATGCGACGAGCGAGGTCTGCGGCTGTCTGTCCGCGGGAATCGCGGAAATCCAGCCGTGCTCCTGCAGCAATCAAAATGGATGTTGCTTCGAAGTATCCACTCAGAATGCTGAACATGAGGGGAGTTGCCCCGGAATGGTGATAGGCCAATAGTGTGAGACGCGAAGGGCTTATCCTGTGTCGCAAGCCTCCGAGTGTGAGGACTAGCCACCAGGCAGTGTCCTTCATCATCCTCAGTCGGAACTGCTCGTCCACATTAGCTTTTGCTTGAATCAAACAGGTGATCGTTTCGGCATAGCCACCTTGAAACATCAGAGCGAAGTGCAAGCAATGCTGTAGGCTCGTTGACGGAACCAATGCAAGCAGCTCCTTCATTGCGTCAGCGGAGGCACAGGCACAAGCTACCTGAAGGGGAGTCATCCCTGGAAAGCAGCGCCGAGAAGAGTCAGCCCTTGCTTCGAACAAGATGCGGACTCCAGCTGCATTGTTGGCGGCACATGCTCCATGCAAGGCAGTTGCAACCGTAGTGTCACAGGCATTGACATTCGCCCGAGCTGAGATGAGCAGCTTCAAGGCATCGTTGCTGTGGTAGAGCGAAGCCAAGGAGAGCAACGAACAGCGTTTGGGTAAGTTTCTATCCTTCTTCTCTTTGGCGATGTAGTCATTGGGATCAGCTTGACTCTCAAGCAATCCTTGCACTAACTCCGAACTGCCGTTCACAGCTGCAAAGCAAATAGGAGACCAGCCACAAGAGTCACGCTCCAAACTGCTGTGAAAGCCATTCTGATGGAGGAACCTTGCCGGCTCAGATTATGGTGCTCTAACTGACGACCCCGGCACCAACACAAGATTAGCCTCTCTTGGAGCCCATCTAGACAAAAGATCGACAGGGTGCCAAAACACTCCTCTCAAATTATCCGTGCCGATTGCATGTCCAGAAACCTCGCTAGCACGAAATCGCATGGATGTTGGAACGGATCCATGTTACCGGAAAAGCCAGGAACCAGCCCGTCCACGGGTTCTACGTCGAGGCCCTGCAGGAAAAACGCCCCTTGTTCATTCAACAAAAGCCGATAGTTGTGCAAGTCCTCCTTCTCCAAATAATACCCCAGTTTGTTCCAAACCATCTGCACCATCATGCGCCCAATCTTGATCCTGTCAGCTTCACAGGTAAACTCTCCGTTCCCAGGGGCCCCTTGAGCATTTTGAACATCGAAGATCATCTTCACATGTCTGGCGCTTTCAACAGCGATGGTGTAGCCATCATTCCTTGCCGCCAGCTCTCGTGCCACCCTCTCGGCTCGACACCATCCTATAAGGGTTTAGGGACATTGAACCGGCAAAGCGTGCGAAGCACTTACAACATGGGACGAAGGGGCTTCTGGACACTTCCCCATCCCGCCTCGCTCACGCCAGGTCTGCAAGGAGAGCACCTTCTTCTGGTCTGCATGCTCCAGGGCAGGGCACAGAATGACGAAGTACTCGCACTTGGCAACATAGGAGGGAATGCCCTCTATCGCAAGTTGTCGTTGAGCCTGAGCCGAGCTAGCCTGGGGGCAGCTTAGATAGTCGTACCACACATACAGAGGCTTTGACTCGAAGTCTGCCACCGTGGGGACAGGGCTGCGGCCAAAGAAAATCTCTTCTGCAATGGGAAGACTTACTTTGATAGTGCCTGAAAGCAGATTCCGCAACGCCTCTTGCAGCACTTGCAGCTGCTGGTGCTGGGGGTCGGGATGCGAGCTGCCAAGCCACTGGTGCGACACAAAGAAGGCCCGGCCCATGGTCTCATCAAAAACTAAAAGGCCATCCGCTTTCAGCAGTTCTTCGTGGGACTTCAGGGTCCCCATTGCCAGAAAATCGGCCATTTTCACGGTGAACATGGGAAACTCTGTCGCTGCATCGAACTCTAAGCCCGACCTCCTCCTGCTCCTCATCTTCACCATCTCTTCTTCGGGGCGCGCATGGAGATTGGCTGCATACTTCGCCAGGCCTGTGTCGACCATCGGCGGGCCCACTGGACGCCTTCAGCGGTCCAGATGAAGGCTTGGGCACTTGGGCCAATTAAATGCTGACACGTTCGCTTGATTTTCTGAGGCTCCGCAGCAGTCTTCACAGCCGTGGCAACAGTATGCAAGCGAGCTGGGGTGACAACGCATTCAGAAACACATGGGGTTTCTCTCCGTAAGCTCCACGCAGGCCTCCAGGCAGACGACTTGATTGGCCTGATGTCTCTGCGATCAGACATAACTGCGATGAGTTTTGACTTCACTCCGCAATCGACAGATACCACATTCAGGGCGGAGAGATCGATGGAAAAATGGATTCCTAGATGTTGGAGAAAATAGGGGCCCTAAACCCTTACAGAAATCCGAATCTTGAGTACAGAGGAATACTATATACGTTAGTTATGATAAATTATAGATGTATTAGGATCCAACAAAAGCCAGTCAAATCCGCCAGAGAGTCGCAATGGGTTGCGCGCTGGGAGGGGGGGGGAGTGCAGCGTCAGGCAGGAAAGCTTCTTGCTCTCCTGCTCCTGATGCAAGGAAGGCATGCCTTGCTCTTCATACTCTTGGAAGGAAAAACCGTTTAGGGTTTACCTATAGTCTCCATTGTAGTTCCTTTTCTTGGTTTAACCAATATATATTAAGGATTTTATAAGGTATCCCCAAAAAGGAACTACAATGGAGACTACAGGTAGGGTTTTTGCTTGCGAACAGAGTCCTCTGACTCAGAGGTGCTCGGCTGCTGCCTTTGCTTTGGCTGGAAACAGGATGGAATGAAAGCCAGCAGACCAGGTTGCCGTCCCACCGGGGTTTCACAGCGAGTGGGTGTGCGGATCTGAAAGATGTAGCAAGCGTTTGTCAAGTATAATGATAAGTGGCAGACGACGCGCGGGCGTGCGTGTGTGTATGTGTGTGTGCGCGCTAAAAGGACTTATTTCGACCAAATGACTACTGTCCCGAAGCAAGAACTGTTCAGGCTCTGGGGTCGCGTCAAAGGAATGCAAGCAGCCAACTGCGAGCCGCAGCGCCGTCGCTGGCTTCGTCACCAGCTGGAACCTGGCAAAGACTGGGCAGGGAGTTGTCCCAACACTTAACTTAACTCACTTATGTTTGGATCTATGTTTGCATTTGGTATTGAAATCTGAAAGACTGTAGAGGATAGTACAGTATAGTACAGTGCAGTAGGGCATATTATATTCTGCTTCTAGTCCAGTTCAATGCAGTACGGTATGGTAGATGTTGCCACGACTGGGGGCGGCTGCAGCTTTTGTTGCGGGCGGTCTGTCTGGCAGCGGCTGTCTGCGCACATTGTTCCGTGCGTCACTAATTACGAAATATGCAAACACGGCGCTGAACAAGTGAATGCTTGTCCTGCCCTGATTCGGACCCTTGACCTGACCTGGAAAGTTTCTGTTGCTTCCTCTGTAGGCGATATCATCCGGATTTCTGCGTCTGCTTCTTGCCCGTTTGCAGCAAGATCAAGGCCAAAAAAGCGACGCTCTTCTCGCTGGCCGCCCACTCCGACTGGCGCAGACGCTTTGAGAAGGTCTTCCTTGGCGAAGACCACCGTTCGTGGAAGCCAGCACTCCGGGCCCAGCTGCACCGGGAAGTTGACAACCATGTGGCAAACCTAGTTCATGGTTGGGGTAGTATTAAACATTTAAATTTATATTCCTTATTGGGTTTAAGTACCCTTAAAAAATGTAAAATGTTACCCAACTATGACAAAGAAACATGGCAGTCCACAACACAGCTCTTTCCCTCACAGATCACAGCACCAGGCTCAAAGTCGCATGCAGCAGTGATGGGCCAGCGAGGCTTCTCCGATTCCGAAGGAGCTGCACCCAAGCCAGTGCTTTTGCCGAAGTCGAGGAACTGCACTGTAGGGTGCTGCTGCAGGAGATAAGCTCGCGGGATTGGCTCCACCTCGGCGAGCCTTGGTAGAAGCACCTCCAAGGGCCAATACTTGCAGCCGCGGATGGAACCTCGGCATGTGGATGAACCACACCTACATGGTGAGAGGTCCATTCCAACGGTCTGCAAGTCAATGTCAAAGAGCTCATAATCGGCGGTGAGCTCGGTGCCGGGGCTGATATTCTTGAGGGCATAAACTCCGTAATCACCGCTTGACTCATTCCAGAACTCGGTGCTTGCATAGAATATATTTGGTTCGCAGCTGTGGTTCGTGAAGCTGTCCACGTCGCTCATTTCGCGAATGTTCGGCCCAAGGAGAGAGGTATGCGTGAAAACATCGAGCACGTACTCCACACTGCCATATTGCAGCAGGACCTTTCCAGGAAGGTCGGGCAGAAAGTGAAACTTAGCCCGGTAGATCAGCTCGCCTTGGCGGATGGGTTGAGCGGCAACGAGGCCCTTGCCGCAATCCGTGTCCCGGACCTCCACCTTCTCGATTAGGGGGACATCCAACACCTTGATGAAGTCAGGTCTCTTCTCTGCCTGGCCCTGGGCCCCCAACTTCACGTGAAGCTTGTCGTAGCCGTAGCTGATTTCAGACGATGCCATGCCTCTTAACAGTCTGATGAGAACATCAGCCACTGCAATGACGGCCACGATCATCAGCAACATGTACGCATAGCCAGTCCTGCCGCCTACATCGAAAACGTACCGCCCCAATGGGGTGAAGAAGACCCTCGTTGCTGCATCAGCAAAGGAGGACATTACGAGGATATTTGGCTGAGAGAAGACTGACATGGGGCTGCTTGCCTCAATGGCGGTGCCTTCCCCCACGCCCGCGACGCAAACGAGCGTGGGATAGATCAAAAAGTCTGCTGCTAGGGCAGCCGACATCCCATGTGTTCTCAAGAGTAGCACTGCTCCAGCTGCAGCCACCATAAGCATGACCCATGTGGCCACTGCGTCGTCCACAAGACCGCTCTCCTGAATGGCCATGAGGCCAGCGCCGGTCACGGCAGTTCCCGCGAGCACAGCCCCAATGCCTCTGCCAATTGCATGGTACCCCCACCCGCCGTCCACTTCGAGTAGGAGAGCGGTGGTCGCTTCAACCGAGGCACATGCTCCAAAGCAAAGAGAAAACAGCACCAAGCAAAGAAACACGACTGCAGCACGATTGCTGCGGTTGAAGGCTGCATCCTCTGCTCCCGCCTCAGAGGCGTTCTCCCGTCCGAAATCCTTTGGCGAAGATGGGATTGCCAGCACCAGGACCGCAGCCATGCAAACGCAAAGGAATGCGACTGCAGCTGACACTGCAGACACTGCAGCTGTGCTGGGCTGCAAGGGTGTTTTGTAGCCCATGCCCGGCTCGGCTCCGAATTGGCTGCTAAGCAGGGGGCCAAGGCCCATGCCCAAGGCATAAGCAGAGTACTCCAGGACTGCGGCTCGTACCTGCTCGTGCGCGGGGGTCTTTTGGCGCACGAGAAACTGCATCAGCTGGCCAGCGCCCTCGAAGAACCCCATCGCGATGCGCAACCCGAGCAGCATAAGCTGCGTTGGGGTGCCAGAGGCAAGCAAGCTGGCAAGCGCCACAACAAGCCCAGCGTTGGCAATCACAGGAAGGACAATTGCAGCGTGGATCTGACTTGGGGACATCACGTGCCAAGCCAGCCTCGAAAAGCAAATGCCGACAATGAGGCCAATGCCGTTCGAACCGATGAAGAACCCAGATGCGGCAGCGCCCCCGCCGGCAGAGCGGCTGAGGTCGTAGGACATGGGGATGACAAACGAGTACTGCACTGCTGCCACCAAAGACACACCTGCACCCAAGAGCTGATACGCCCAAGAGCTTGAGACGCCCCTAATCGTCACGCTGTGCATCAGTACGAGGACCTCAAAAGCCAGCACAACAGAGCTGATAATGACCACCATGGGAACAGCCACCGCCGTGTTGCCACCTTTTGTAGGGTCTGGATGGTCCAGAGAGTCAAGGTCAAGACGGTCTGCCCGCATTGCGGATGAGCATGTAACTAAAGGAATTAGCAGACTACATGAGCGGCTGCAGATCTTCTGCATCCAGCCCATCGAAAACGCTTGGGAGCCGCAATACTTCCACGACAGCGAAACAGCAACAGTGTAGCAACAACAGCATGTCAAAAACTGTGGCAGCGTTCGTAGCAACAGCGGAAGCGGCAGCCCTGTCCCCTGCCCGAGCTTGTTCGTGTGAGGCCGTCGCACCTGATGGCGTTCGAGTTGATCTCGCTCAGCGCCTGCTGGACAGGTTAACGCAGCAATGTGCACATGTGAGCCATGCAGCAAGGACGTCAATCCAATGAACCACGACGGAGACCTCCGCAGTCTTGTCGTTGGGTCTGTTGCGTCTGCCATTGCGGCTACGAGCCTCAACAACTTGTACTGCAACGGCATGGGTGTCGCGAAAACAGGATGAGAGCTGCCTGCTGCACGTTGTCATAACTCAGCAAACCCTAAACCCTCTTTGCGCAGACTTGTACATGCCCGCCTGGATCTCAGAGCTTCTGCACTCGTGGCAGAAACCCTATGAGCGTCTGAAACACCTGAAACACGGAGGTGCCTGTCGAACCTGGAAGCCGTACGAGAGTCAACACCCGAAAACACGGAACTGAAGCCGAAGCCGCTGTAGATGTGATCATGCAGCAAACCAGAACATCACTCTCAGCCTGTTTTTCAGCATCTAGAAGATACAGATCCGACCAGATGCCATAGAATCCATGTACTCCTGCTGTAGCCGACCAAAAAAGCCCAGTCTCCACGAAACATCCGTTCGGAGAATGTCTCTCCAGAGGCAGCTCATGGATGACTGGATGATCATGCCCGAAATGATGATGGGTTTAGGGTTTAGGGTTAGGGCTTAGGGTTTAGGGGGGGCGAAAGTCTGACATCACCCTTGAGCCTACTGCACTTCTTCCTCGGGGTCCGCACGGAAGAACTTTGGGCAAAGCTCTGGAAGCCAGGCTGGGCTCACCTCTCTCGGTTGGCTGGGCAGTACGTATACCGTGTCATGTCCACTCATCGTCATCCACGATAACAGACTATGGTATGCTATACTATGCTTTAGCTCTATGCTACACTAAACTATACTATACATGAAGCGAGGTATACTATAGTACAATGCTATACGATAATATGCCATGACATACTGTAATACAGGTGCAGGAAAGGCCTTTTCTTTTCAGGAGGGCGAAAGATGCACATCGTCGTCCGAACAAACAATTTGACTACACATCGAAGGCCCAAGCATTTTCGCATCTCCAGCAAAGGCACGACTGGCACTGGACTATGCTGGATCGAAAATTTGCGTATCACAGACCATGTGCTACGAATCCCGGGAGGCTTTGAAATTCAGCTCACCCATGTAGATATGCCCTTGATTCATGTACTCTACCTTGTGCATCGGCACCGTTGGCGCCTCCTCGAAAGAGAGTTTTCCAAGGCTGGCAAACAAGAAGCGGTCGTCCTCTGCTGCTTCGACACGGTCCAAGCGCTCGAGCAGCATGCCGCCGACCATTCCTACCAAATCGGTATCTGTGGTGAAGATCCAGGAGTACTTGTACTCCTGACCAGGCTCAAGCACAAACTCAGCCTCGCCATAGGTAGGGCGTTTCAGCGGGAAGATCTTCCCCGAGGCAAAGCGGAGAGCATAGAAGCGAGCCAGGCTGCGAACTTGACGCGTGCCCAGGGCCCTGTTTCTCACGCAGGCTCGGAAGAAGTAGGTGTGAGCACCTGCATTGGGATTCCTGTTACTTTTCTCTAAGTTTATTCGGTGTACATCCCATTCCAAATGGATGCCCTCAGGGTTCTCGGCGGGCCAGAAGGCATCACCTGTCAAGGACTCCATGGCCGTCTTCACCTTTGGCTCAAAGAACTCCTCTACATACTTCTCCCGCTCCAGCCCGTCGAGTGCTTTCCGCGGGCCTCGCATGAAAGGATGTACGCTAAGGGCTTTCTTGTACCAATGCGCTGCTTTGGCCGGCTCACCCAAAGCCGCATAGCACATCCCGAGGCCGGACAAGCAGCCGAAGTGGCGTGGATTCAATTCCAGCACTTTCTCGCAATCCTCAATCGACTGTTGAAACTCCTTAAGCATGTAATAGACAGTGGCCCGCTTATTCCAGGCCTCTCCGAAGGAAGGGGATTCTTGCACCAACTCGGTGAAGAGCTGCAAAGCCTCCGAGATTCGGTCGCCCTCCATGTAGCTGCAACCTGTTCTCATCATCTCCGCTGCGTCCTCATCGTCTGTCTGGTGCCAGACGTGCCACAAGGCCTCGTCTGCTGCCTGCCTCAGCTCAGCCGCATCTGCGCCCACAACCTCACGCAAGATGCGAAAGAGAGCATCCTCGGCTTCTGGGGTTGGCAATGGTGGAGCAGCCAAGTCCTTGAGAACGCCGATGGCATCCTTCCGTGCTTTGAGTGTGTCTCCCCCGAGCAGAACCGTGTCGCAAGCAACTTGGAGTCGTCTTTGCCGGCGCCACGCAAGCGCTGCCACGGGATTGCTCTCTTCGTGCTGCTTGAGGAGTGCGTCGATCCGGCTCACCACTTCTTGATCGCCAGATCTTTCTGCCAACTGCTTGGTTGCAGTCAGGGTCTCGAATTTTTGGAAGATGTCAGTTTCTGACCTGACAGCCCTGACAAGCAAGGTGCTCCGCCGCCATCGTGCCTGGCGCCTTTCTGCCACAAAGGCCCCAGCTGCCAAGGAAGCAACGGTGAGATGTGGAACCGGCGCCTTTCTGCTGGAGCACGCTGGTTGGCTCTGTCCGAGCTGAGATGGGCCCGGCTTCGGCTGCGCCGAAGGATGCACTGAATTAGAGAGGCTGAGGCTCAGCATGGGATATTTTTGACCCCCTCTCTCGGGAAAATGTGGACCACCCTCTTCAAATCTACCGGCAACTCTGGTGGCTTGAGCACGTGCCTAGCACCTCACCAGCTCGCAGGTTACCAGATTTGCAGAGAACCCCCAAAGCACATCAACAAACACACGCAGTGCTTCGCTCGCATGGGAAACTTGCCAGAAGTTCTGGCTTTTCAGGATTGAAGGGTAGTGCAGCATTTTGTACGTTGATGTCTGCTAAGGACATATGACAATGACTAAGTGATTCATAATCAATCCGGTACAGCATGCAACTGCACTACCACACAGCTGGTAACGACGTTGTCATGCTTTACTCTGCTTTAGCTAAACTTTAGCACCATGGGAACTCTACTCTGCACATGGCGGGCATCTGTCCATGGAGAAAGCCTCAGTTTCAGGAAATCAAGGCAGCCTCCGTGACGGTTCGCAAGTAGGTCTTGCTGGTCACCACCAGGTCGGAATAGACAACACAGGACCTGACTCCACTCAGAAGCAAGACTGCACTTTGCGGGATTTTCGATTGAAGAGTCCATGCTGTAAGGATCCTACTTCTATTGGGTCTCAGATAGGGTTCCTCATGCTACACCTCATTTTCTTAAACTCCCACATCTTCTATTGGGCCTCGAGTAGCGTTCTTCATTTAATCACACAGGACAGAAACAAGAGCATCTTGACAGGCCCAGGTGACGGTGGCGGCTGACGACGGTGAAGAACGCTGGAAGGATGGAGCTTGGCCTCCTGTGGCGCTGGGATGTCAAGAGGTCTGGGCTAAAGGCTTAGGGTAATAACAATGATAATCCTAGGTCTAGGTTTTGGCGGCGCACCTGTCTGGAAAGCAAGGTTCTGTACAAATTCTGGTTCACCTCGTCTCGCTGTGCCGTTTGAAGGAACAGGCCCTGCCAGGCAAAAAGCTCAAAAGACGCACAGAGAAGATCAACCCTAAACCCTAAACCCGGCCTTCAGAAGGCATCTTCGCACCACAGCCCAGTTCTTGGGCCTGCGGAGAGCCGCGACGAGCATAATTCAATCATAAAGACCATAATAAGATTAATCAGTAATCAGTAAGACTGCTACTACTACTACTACTACTACTACTACTACTACTACCAATCGTAATAATGATGGTGATAATGATAAGCAGAATAAGAATAATCAAATGAGATTAGTTCATCTTCTGGCTTCTGAGGTCCGTTCTCCGAGCTCCCGACTCGCCGCAGCTTGAAACGTTCGCATTCCAAGCCTGCGACGTCCCATAGTATGCCACATAATACCTACATACATACGTTAATAATACATATTTTTAATGAATATATATATATATATATATACTCTATATATATATATATATGTATATTAGACGCTGCATTAGTACATTATATTATATCATGATAAGTTGTCTATCTTAACTCCACCAGTCTGTAAGGATTCCAAAATCGCCCCTCCCCGGTGGCCTGCTGCATCCTTTCCTTCAGCTGCTTCCGAATGTTCTCCTCAGGAAAGGCTCGTCTTGGCTCTGCGCACCCGTGGTAAACCTCACATGCGTAACCCCCAGATTTGCCGCTTCGGGTTGTTAAACTATGAATATACTGTTACTATTTTCATACTTAATGTTATTACAATAACTACTATTCATTCTTATCAGTTATTTATTGTTATTCAGGACCTTACAAACACCCTTATAGAAAGCTTTACAGCCCTTGCCATCTCTGAGGGCTGGGCCGCCTTCTCCAATGCCGAGTGGCTGAGGCCGTTTTCGGCGGCATAGGCCTGGCGTCGGATCGGGTGCAGAGTTTAGGGGTTCAGGCTTTTTGGGCTTTGGGATTTAGGGCTTGGGGCTTAGGGGGGTTTAGGTTTTAGGGACAAAGGACTCCGAGAAATCCCTCATATGATGCGCTCAGCAAGTTCCCCCGTAGCCAACACCCGTCCTTCGGCTTCTTCTGCTTTCGCCAATTTCGGAAAGCTGAGAGAAGTGAAAGGTGATCCCCATCCTTGCAAGGCCAGCACTCTCCCGGCAAAGGTTTGAAGAACTCCGCAAACATGTCATTCCTAGAGACGCCCGATGGATCCCAAGTGTGTCTCCTGGTGCTGGTACGGCTTTGCCTGCTGGGCACTGCCTGAGCTCGGTCCACGTGCTCAGAGAATCCATGCGTGCTGACAAACACTGTCAACAACAGTAATGCAACGGCAGCGAGTGGTGGTGCTTGTCTGCTGCTGCTTGTAAGTCTGGTCTAGCTGGCCGAGAAGGTCCACTAACCAACTCACCTCCCGGGGCCTAAGAGGTGCAACTGACAAGACTGCGAGGCGAGGCGCCAAGGCAGCTTCTAGTTGGCATCATCGGCTGTGTTTCACAAGCCAACAACTGGTAGCCAAAGCTAAGTCCGCTGCTGCCGCTGCTGCTGCTGGTGCTGCTTCTGGCAGTGGTGGTAGTCGTCGTGGTCTTCGCGATAGTCGCGGCAGTCATCGTGGTGGTGGCGGCGGCGGTGGTCGTAGTGGTGCTAATAGGCAGGAGGTACGAGTAGGTATAGGGAGCAGCGAGCCCTGAGTGTGTGGCCTCGCTTCCCGGAGGTGGTGAAGATTGGCGCGTCTGCCGACAGCATTGCAACGATGCCTTGCAGAAGAAAGCCGGTCACGATACACGATCTTGCGCCAGGCTGGACTGAACTTCTCCATGTGAACGGCTCTCAGCTTTCGGCTCAAGATTTCTGCTGCGCATTCAAACTCGAGGGAAACATGGAGACAGTAGGCGTACCTGCAGATTGACATGTTATTGAAACATGCTTGCGAGACAAGTCCTCAAGCGGATCAGAGCACGATGGATGTACAGGCATCGCCGCGAGCTTTCTCCCAAGGTCAGTCAAGGCCTCGGCTCTCCGAGAATCTGGAAGAGGGAGGTCACCACTCAACTTGGCCACTTACACTTAGGCGTCCGAAGAGGAAGGTGGGGACATGTACAAAGAAATCAGAAAGCCCTCTGCGGCCCACCCACCCCCCTCCATCAAAGGCTCCGGCATCTCTCGTGTCAAGAGCTCCGATCCGACAGAGGAAATGGGCTGCCTTCTCTATGGCTTCTCGGGGTGGCCGGTCGACCTCTGGGTCGGTCTCAAGTGAGCGCCAGAACTTGACGATGCTCTGAGTGTGGCACCAGTGGAAAGCTGGCGATCTTCGAGATTCCAAGAGCCTCCAATCATCTGCAAGAAGATTGGCGTGGACTGATGTGACTGAAGCCCCTAAACCCTAAACCCTGAACCCTGAACCCCTAAACCCTGAACCCTAAAACCCTAAAGCCTGAACCCTGAACCCCTAAACCCTAAACCCTAAACCCTGAACCCTGAAACCCTAAACCCTGAACCCTAAAAACCCTATGAGGAGTTGGCACCTTCAAGTTGATGTAGACCGAGGCCATCTCCAGGCGCAGGATCTCCGCTGGCGTTTGCACCGGCATCTTCTGGTAGTCCGACCTCCACACGGTTTAGGGTTTAGGATTCAGGGTTTAGGGTTTAGGATTTAGGGTTTAGGATTTATAGGGTTTAGGGTACTTGGTTCAGACTCTCGACATCTTTCGTGATGCTCCGTTTCCGTCCGAACTTTGAGGCCAGCGCTCAACGTAGAGGCGGAACACCTCCCCAGGGGCCTCTCGACCTGCAAAGATTTTGGGTCCAAGACAACACCGAGAGTGTAGAAGTTCGGCTGGCCTGCCCGGCCCGCCCTCTGAATGGCTGACGCCTGTGATGTCTCGACCGTCCTGCGACTGCGATGACATGGCCGTCGTGAACCGGACGAAGCCATGGCCCATGTCTCTAATGCTACTCCTACGTGCGCCTCAGCATATCGATGCCGGTCTGGGGGTGACACATCTTCAGCTTCATGATGCCAGTGTCCTGCCCCGGCACCCACTCGTGTTCCTAGACCCTGCCCCCTTGCCCGATATGACTTGCAAACCGGTGTCCACGACAAAGCGGATGCCCGGGATGGTGATCGAGGTCTCCGCAATGTTCGTGGCCAGCACTACCTTTCGGTACCTCGTTCCAGCAGTCTTCTGAGTGGGTTCTATTCTGCACTGCATAAACAACACCAGGACGGTACCCAGGCGGAGTCGCTTCGAACACCAAGGCCTTCGGCAAATCAGTGCACTGACGGGGACGATGCTTGGCACTATGCTCAGCCTATGCGACCCCTGTTAGCAACACGAGGCGTTGTCTGAAATGCCTGTTGCTCGAAGGGCAGCGCTGCGTAGATTGGCCTGATGACCATGTTCGGCACCTGGCAAGAAATCATTCGTTGCACGAACGAGTGACCATCCTGCATCCTCCTGCTCCAGTCCGAAGAAAAACAGCTTGCAGAAGTTTGCACGTGCTCTGTGACGCAGTGAAACCCACTTGGAGGTTCATGGGTAGTTATAGGTGGGGTTAGTCCCTTGATATATTATAGTTACCCGACTTATAACCCTGCTTGTAACTACCCATGAACCTCCAAGCAGTGGCAAAACAAACCTGGAAAGGCGTGTCGGCTGACGTTCTCGAATGTTGGCCAATCGCGCGAACTGACAGCAACCGGCTGGCCACCTTCAAAGCACGACTGCCCCTAGGTCCGAGGTCCTTGGGCAAAGCAACATCTAGTCTAGGGGTTTAGGGGGTTTAGGGTTCAGGGTTTAGGGTTTAGTATACATCACCCTTCCTGCCTGTTCGTTCCAGAACACCCTTTTCTGGATGATCTTGCCTTTCAGGGGCTCGGCCAAGCATCCCAAAGTGACGTTGGCAGTAAGGGAAAGGCCTCTGCTTTGCCAAAATCTCCTGCTTCTCCTCAAGGAGCCGCTGAAGGCCGTCGATCTCCTCTTGACCGGGCCTAGAAAGATCAGAAGCAAAGCGAGGAATATCGGAGGGGCTGTTTGCATTAAGACCATCGAAGAAAGCAGCGGTGATGAAGCAAGAAAGGCTGGCAAAGCCCATGGCAGGAACACCAGGATGTCACCAAGAGGGCGAGTGACATGCAATTGAAGAACTGCCAACATCGCAGCCTCGTCAGAGACAAAAGACAGCATAACAGTCTGATGCAGCAAGACTCGTATTAGCAAGCTGGGTCAACACGACCAGCCTCCAAGACGTCAGGCTCAGGCGAAGGCGTGTAGTACAGCTGCCTTCCCATACTACGACTGTTACCCTGCCCGCACATGCCATGTTTCACGTGTCTAGCGTCGGCCGAGAGACACGGCATGCTGACGTCCCGGGACCTGGAGCAAGTGCACCTGCCGGTCTTTGCAAGCTAAGACACAGGCTGCAAGCGCAACCACGTATCGTATCATTACGCATTCAGCCGGCACAGGGTTCGGAAGAAGCTCCTACAACTCTCAAATTTGAGTCCGAAAACAGTTTGTATGAAGCAAGTGCCTTTTCTGGTCCACCAAAGAAGTTCACAAAGGGGGCAGCGTGGATTGTGGCGGACATGACCACGACCTCGAGCAAAGCGCCCGGAAGTCTCATCATACTCAGCCTGAGCATCCCCATTATACAATATATTATGCTATGTTCTAGTAGTATGTTGTAATTATATTGTATCATATGCTGTATTATGTTATATACGGTGTTATGCAAGACACTTGGCAGTGCCGTAAACTGTCTTGATGATTCAGCGCCTAGCTCGAAGATCCGGTGGATCGCCTTGCTCCAGCGCCTGCCAGGACTATGTTGGGGGCTTCTGTTGGAAACCAGATTCAGAGCATCTGGGGGTTTCCGAAAATAGGGGACCCTAATATAGTACCTTAAATAGTAGGATCCTTATTATAAGGACCCCAAAATAAGGTGCCCCTTATTTTCGGAGACTCCCATCTGAGTTCTGAGGGTGAGACCCTCTTCACCAGACCCAGTAGAACGTCTGTGTCTATACTGCGCCTTGAGCTGTCAAACAGGACATCCTACCTACTCCTTGCGTTAGCATCTTCTAAGCCGTGAACTCGTGCGCTTCATCCAGGACAACAATGGAACAAGCACGAAGTCCCGAATGATGGCCTGCAGCAAGAAACTGGCAACCACACTGAGACACAATGTATCGACTCAAGCCATCCCCGCCTGTGGATTCGCCGGCTGACTCTCTAAGAAGCATGCCATCTGTCATGTACCTGAACACAGTAGGGCTACCCTAAACCCTCAAGTTCTGCTTGCCGTCGATGTGCTCGCAGGCCAAACAGAAGCTCTCAAAACAGGGTCGCACTTCAGCACCGTCTCTCGAGATGTCCGGTTGAGAAACCGGACGTGATAGCCGACAAGACCTAACATGAAAGCTGGAAGTCTTTTTTGGGAGTTGGGGGTTTAGGGGTTTAGGGTTTAGGGGGCTAGGCAGGCGAAGGCATGCTGCCAGCACGCCAGACGGAATATGATGTGGTTGGGCACCCAACACGTACCACATTCCGCTTTGAAGGAACCTCTAAGGGACAACCGATGGAGCACTACTTTGGAGGCTTCACATGCGTACGGTTTTGGAGCCGTTCTTTGACCTCGTGCGACTCTCAAATACTCTAAAAGAACAGACGCTGGCGCATTCCAATGACGAGACAAACCGGCCTCCAATTTGGCAGCCCATTTCCGACGCCACATGGTTGGCAACCTCAGTACCGTCCTATCAATCAAGTTGGCTTTCTGAGAAACCGCAACGGCAGGCATGCTCTCTGTCTCTGTCTCTCAGCTCGGGGCGCTGATCGCTGCGATTCGCCGAGGTTGCGTGATGGCAATGGTTCGTTGATTCTCCGATCTTCCATTGACGGCGGCTTCGTAGAGAAAGCGAGGCACCTGCCATGTTTCATCGGAGCTTACTTTAGGCTGGTAGGACATGGGATGGATACTGGCCTGCGTGGTCTTTCCACTTCCAGTCTCTCCCACAAGAACAACAACCCGATGCTGTCGGACGGCGCTGACGATGCCCTTGCGGGAGGCATCTGGGTTCAGCGAAGGCATGCGCTCTCATGTGCCACGATCACATTGCTCCAGGCCGTGAGGCCTCGCGGAAAGCAGCAATCGGAAGCTTTGATGCCGAGCCGTTCTCCTCGATCCGCTCAAAGGGGGTCTTCAAACTGGAGTCCCCAGAGACTCCAATATCCCTTAATTAAGGAATATACCTGAAATTATAGTAGGATCCCTAGTATGATTTAAGGTATATTCCTTAATTAAGGGATATTGGAGTCTCTGGGTCACGCTGAGCCACTGGGCGTCGGACTGCAGGATCGGAGCTTTGGCGCCGCCGCTTTGCACTTGGAGCTGCGTCCATGACTCTGCGAGGGAGGGAGGGAGGGAGGGAGGGAGGGAGGGAGGGAGGGAGGGTGCTCTAAGCTTGAACCAAGCAAAGTGCAAGAGTTGGTGCTAGGCTCAGCGAGGAAAGCCGCAACGATGCACCGGAAGGCAAGCTGCAAGTTGACTCCAACTAAAATCAACATAACTAGACTAGACTAGACTAGACTAGACTAGACTAGACTAGACTAGACTAGACTCGACTATACTAGATATACTATACAGAAGCAGCTGCTCCCCATGAGCGCACACCCGAGATATCATTTTTGCTGGAGATTTCGCCGTTCAAAGGAAGCCACGGGCCGTCGCCATCTGGTCAGGATCAAAGCAATACGGTTCATGTAGGGGCCTTAATAATTAGAATCAGGTTGTGGGGGGCTCCTTTAAAGGGTTCCTTAAAGGGTTCTACAAGGGCTACTACAAGGGTTTTGGGGGTTAGGGGCCTTAATAATTAGAATAGGGCTTTGGAGTAAATTAGAATAGGGTTTTGGGGTATATTATACTATATTTATAACAAGGAACCACCAAAATAGTATAGGTAATTATTAATTGAGGCCCTTATATTAAGGGTTTAGGGCATAGGATTTATACGGTTGAAGGTTAAGGGTTCGGGGCTTGGGCCATCTAGGAGTTTCGGGTTTAGGGTCTAGAGTATGGGGTTTCGCGTGTATAGGGTGGAGGATGTCGGGTTGTCGGATCTCTGAAACGCGCGCCTTCTGCGGTGTTCTGCCTCTCCGACCTCGAGAAATTAGGAGTGTTCCTCCTGAGGAGTGGGTTTAGGGTTTAGAACTTTTAGGGTTAAGGGTGAGTTTTCTTCCTGACTACGACATGTAAGCGCCATGCGATGCATTCCGGCACAGTCGACACGTATGCGAGCAATTGGGCATAAGAGCAGGTACTGCGTTCAAGATCAAGGCAAGAGAAGCCTCCTTTCAACTTTACTAAACCCTGAACCCTGCCAAACCCTAAACCTTAAACCGCTACGAACCCCAAACCCAAAAACGAAGCCGCAAGGACCTCCATGACCATCCCAATGGAAGGTGTTCCGAAAATCGGGAAGCCCAAACCCTAAACCCGAATATAGAAAACAGAACATACGGTCCCTATAAAGGACTCCTCAGTAGGAGCCCTAAACCCTCAGTAAGAGACCCCGAGTTTCAGAAACCCCCTACAAATCCCAAAATAAGGACACCTCAACTAAAGGGACCCTAATTTAGAGAACTACCCATGTACGAAACCCTATAAACAACAAAGCCCTAGAGCCTTCAAACCCCCAAAAGGGCGACCGTGCTTGCGAATCCCGAGGAAGGGCCTGAAGCCTTAGATTTCCCATTCTTAACTCAGTTTGGGGGGCCAGGGTGCAGGGCTCTTAACGACCTACTGGGTTTAGGGTTTAGGGTCCTGGGCCCCAGGCACCTTAAACCCTAAGCCTACACCCCCATATTTAGCTACCAGGGTTGAGGGTTCAGGGTTTGGGGTTAAGTACTCGCTGGGCCCGAAGCAGGTCGGCAGGATGGACAGCCACGCGACAGAGGTCATGCCTTGAGAGAGTTCTAGCTGACTCGGGTTTCAAGGCCAGGGTTCAGGGGTGTTTAGGGCTTAAGGGTTTAGGTTTAGGGGTTAGGGTTTCGGTTTAGGTAGGGTTTAGGGTCTAGGTAGGGTTGCAGCGGTTAGGAAATAGCCTGGAGAGAGTTGAAAAAATACCTCGAGGAGGTGTGCGGCTCGCAGCACAGTGAGACGCTGGCCTGCTTGCTGCGGGCCGAAGAGATCCTGCATGATCGGCTGCAAAACTCCCGCTCGGTGCTGCAGCTTTGCTTCCCTGAAACCCTGAACCCAAGAAATTCGGAGTAAAGCCATCCTGGGGCAGCTTGGGTGCATTTCGCAGCGCGTTGATAACCTGTCTCAGGCGGCACTGTTCAGGGTTTAGGGTTTCCCGTGCGCGGGCTTACAAATACCAGTGCCATCTCCCAGAATACTAGAAGCTGCATGCACTGGCAGCGTTTAGACGTCTGAAGCTTACCCGCCTCGGAGATCTTTTGTCGGCAGAAGATATTCTCTTCCAGGACCTGCTCTGACGGGAGGCTGCCTACTACTCGTTCGGCCAGTGATGTCTGCAGGGCCTCCTTCGCCTTGTCTTCAATCGTTTGCAAGACCTGCCACGAAAAGCAAGACTAGTACGAAGGACACATCAACACTTCGTGCATGCAAACCTCTGAGCTTGGAGGAGCAGAGTCATCTGCTTTAGCTGGCGGCACCTCATACCTCAGTCAAGCTGTTGCAGAGGTGTTGTCGGATGAGGCAACACGACGGAAGTGTCACCGCGACTTCTTGCCAGCAGCCGCCGGCAGATTCTGAGGATGGCGCGTCTTTGCATCGATTACTTGTTCCTTCTCCGGATCGTACTCGATCTGCCACGTCGTAGACATTCGATGGGCTGGTAGACTCAATGAGTGAAGGCCAGGGAAACCGCTTCTCACAGTGCAATACTGACACGCCCCCTGAGCTGGCACGCCCCTGAATAAATACCATACTAGAAAACACGTCAAAACCAGAGATTCCCCAATGACACTATCTAACGATCATCATGATTGTTGTCATTACATACAAGTATACAAGTATTGGCTAGCAGACCATCGTTGCATCTTGCGCCAGACCCGACAACCATGTAAGGAAGACGTGGAGGTGGATCCCGACATCCCCCTGGCCAGGACATCTCTGCGTTCGGGTTTAGGGGTGTAGAGTTTAGGGCTCCCTACTTGGAGGTTCATGGGTAGTTATAAGTAGGGTTTTAGGTAGGGTAATTATAATTATAACTCATATTAGGGGACTTATAACCCCACTTTTAACTACCCATGAATTTCCAAGTAAACCCTTTAACCTCTAAACCGTAAACCGTTGAGGCTGCCTGCTTGAAAGATGTCGGATGGGAAGCCGGACCGTGAACACCGGCCTCAGCGGATCCAGGCTCAGCTCAGCTGCAGCTCCGATGCACAAGCCTAAGGCTCCATGTACCCAAATACTATATACTTTGGCCTCAATGTAGTCCCTTTAAGTCCCTATATAGGTACTTTATTTAGGGCCAATCTATATACCATTTGGGCACATGGACCCTTAGGGAAAGGGACCCGACCAGCCAGTCGTGCAAGTCCCGGATGTCCAAGCGGCCCATGCCTGCAGTGCGAAACCTTGAAATTCCCTAACCCCCCAGGTACCTACTATTTAGGGCCCTAGCGGCTCTAGTACCCTATATAGTAGGTACCTGGGGGGTTAGGGATTGTTATGGGTATCGCAAGAACTCTAAGGCTTTAGGGTTTGAGTGTGTTTAGGACTTTTGCAGCTGCTCTATAGGTGGTGATAAGAAGCAATCACCATCGAAGCTTGCGCTCAATTTAGGATTTAGGGTTTAGGGTTTTAGGGTTTAGGGTTTAGGGTTCAAGCCACTCTACCATTTCTCGGGTTGCGGCCTCTCACCCAGGGCGTGCGAGGCAGCATATGGCTCTGCTGCTACTCTTCATTGGGATAGACAAGTCGGCACAAGGAGTGCTTACTGGATGTATCGACCTTGGAGTGGCCTCCCCCGTGTGAACGAACCAACATATTAGCCTCCATGTCGTGCACTTATTCACTGATGCTACGGTGCCAGATCGCTCCTTAAAGCTTGCAGCTTAAACACTAAACCCTAAACCCTAGACCATAAACCCTAAACCATGAACCCTAAACCCTTTTCAGCATGGACTTGGATTGTGTGCCAGCGAACACACCTGGAACCCTAAACCCTAAGCTCTTGCTTTCTAGCCGGCTGGAGCCAGGAACTTCAATGGACTCGAGGCTTTCCCCAGAGCAAACGCAGGCGGTCGCAGCGTATCGTCTGCTCTCTCACCGTCTGCACACATTCACACGCACCCTAAACCCAAAAACCTGAAGTCCCAAACCCTGAAACCCACAACTTATGGATCCCCTAAACCCTAAACCCTTATGGCGGTCTTTTTTAATCGCTTGCAGCTCAGCTCTTTGCCGGTGGAGGCTCCTGCCACTTGGAGCGCTAGCAATGGGCCGCGATTCGCAGATTCGCAGAGAACGCTCTTGCCTGGCCCTCGGTTCCGGAGTTCTGCTTCTTGGCATCGTTGAAGGCCTGGTGTTTCAGGGTTGGGATTTGGGGTTTAGGGTTTAGGGTTTAGGGGTTTAGGGGTTCAGGGCCTAGGGTTTAGAGTTTACCTATAGTCTCCATTGTAGTTCCTTTTTGGGGATACCTTATAAAATCTTTAATATATAATTGGTTAAACCAAAAAAAGGAACTACAATGGAGACTATAGCTAGGGGTTTAGGGGTCGGCTGCAGATGACCGGGGCACTGAGCCAGGCCGGGCCTCTGCGAACTTCTCTGCCAGCTCCGCATCTCGAAATCTGAGGGCAAACTGCTCCATCTGAGCGCTGTCTTCCGAATAGTCCTGGGGAAGGTTTTTTTTCTTTTAGGGTTTAGGGTTTAGCGCTGTCTTCCGAATAGTCCTGGGGAAGGGGTTTAGGGTTCAGGGTTGTTTTTTGAACTCCTATAGGGTTTAGGGTTTAGGGTTTTTTTTTGAACTCCTATAGGGTTTAGGGTTTAGGGTTTAGGGCATGGGAAGGCGGGAACTTGCAGCTTTGCGGCGAAAGGTGGCAAGGTCTGGTGAATTGAATCCGAGGCACCATGGCGCACCACACCCAGGTTGTCTCATTGCCGGCATTCTTGGCGAGTTGACAATACGGCCTCGCGCCACTCTCTCAGTTCGAGGCAGAAATACCCCCCCCCCCCTTGTTTCGACAACTTCTGAGCAAGCGACGGAACATCAACGATAAAGTGGTTGGCGACCACCTTTTGGGCTCATGGTTTTGGCAACCACTGGTCTGGTGTAAGAAGTGCGCTTCACCTTTAATGAACTGCTTCTAGATACTGAAGGTTCCCAGGCAGCTCTCTGCTCCCTGCATTTTTTGTCAGAGGCTGAACTTGACAACCCAATCTGATTGGTTGCTACTCGTGTACAGACAACATGATTCAGTCGGTGCAATATCTTTCGAACTGCACGGCAAACTGTGCAGACAAATTTATCGCTTGTATCCTTCCTGTATACACGGCCTTCTCCTGCACGTAGATTTCTGAACCTGTGCCCTCCATCCAAGAGGTCGTGGGTGTGTGTGTGTGTGTGCTGGGGATCCTCAGGTGGTGGCTCTGGAGTTTGCGGCTTTGCGGGCATGTTTCAGCTGAAGCATCAACCATACTGACCGCGAAGAATCCGAATTAGCTTTGACAGATGCTTCGCAGACCCTGAAGCCCTAAGTTCCTAAACCTTAAACCAGCCCAAAACCCCAAGCTACCTTCATGACAACGAGCGGAGTCGAATCGAATCCCCGCCTTACCAGTCCTCTCTTGCCTCAAGAGGAAGCGGATCTTGCCGTTCACCTACAGAGCTGGGACTGGGGCTCTTATTCGCACTTACCTGCAACTCCCGCTGAACATCAAAGCAGACTTCCCAGTACCCAGTAAGTAATGCTTCAAAGATGCAATCCAGACAAAGCACGCACGTTTAGTCTTACTATCATCGATATTCTTATTGGTACCAGTCTTACTTAATCTTCTTGTTGCCATTATTGTTATTATCGTGATTGATGTCATTGTTCCGAATGGTCTAATCAACATTAAGGCAACCCGCCCCCCCACCCCCCCCTGGACCGCCAAGTGGGCGACCTGGTGCTTCAGAAGCTTGGCGTCGCCCACGCCCCGCTCCTGGAAGCCATGAAGCTCTCGGGCTAAGCGGAGCCGCTACACATCCCAAACGCAGAAACATCAGAAACATAGCTATAATCATACTCATATATACAATAACAGCACTAATATCTTCAAGTTGAGCCCTGTCTCTCAGCTGATGTCCGATTCTCTCTGATTTGCTCCTTCCATTCAGCGTCGCGAAACCGGTACAGTTTGGAGCGCTGGCAGTATAACTCTTCCTCGCCACAGCAGATCAGCCGGCAAAACCAGTTCGGGACCACTTGAAGCCGATCCGACTCCTCCCGCTCTTCTCCGGTTTCAAGGTCGTCACGGACCTTACACGAAGCTGAACTTTCTCCGACGCCCTGGTCAGGCAGGACGACATCTTCTTGGCCTCAAGTGTCATTGAAGGCGTCCAGCCTTTCACAGCCAGTACCTTCCAGCTTCTGGTTTCACATTCCTGGATGTGCAATATGTGGTGGATTGAATTAGATGATACGTTGCCTCTTTAGGTGTATGGCACCAACCAACCCCCACCCTAGGATAGAAATCTATCTCAAGATCTCACCTCCCAGACTAGGATAACATCTATCTTAAGATCTCAGCCCCAGGGCTAGGATAGGTTAGGTGTCTCCATACACCTAAATAGGCAAGGTATCGTCTAACTGATTGATGCCTCTTCTTCTTGGACAAGCTCGCTCTCGTCGACCTCGTCATCGTCATCACCATCGACCTGCGCACGGAGCTGGGAGACATTTTCATGACCGCGCGCAGCTGGGTAGTTGTCAAAATTATGGTCCCTTTTTGGGTCCTTATTATAATACGGCACCTATTAGTTAGGGTACCCAAAAGCGAGCATAATTTTGACAACTACCCAGCTTTCTGATGGAGCCTTGTCGACGGGTTTTGCTGCGCCTGCTGCGCCTGCGTCCGTGTCGCCTGCGCCTGCGCATGTGTTTTGGTTGGAGGCCTGGTTGGTCACTTTGGTCCACTATACGTAGTATTTTGAGTACTGTCACTAACAGTATTCCACTCTATGTAGTATTTCGATGATTGTTACTAACAGTATTGGTATTGTTATTACATCATCAGTACAAGTCATAATATGATTCAAAATATTGTGCCTAGACCCTAAACCCTAAACTCCAAACCATCCATCCGGCCTGGAGCTGGAGAGAAGGAACTGTTCAGGGAGAAGAGGCCACCGCCCGTGCCACCGAAGAGCTTCGACCTTAGAGAGCGCAGAGTTTTCTTCAAGAAACGCCAGTGTTATTGTAGGGGCCTTAATAATTAGAATAGGGTTTGGGGGCTCCTTATTATCATTATAATAATTATTATTATTGTTGTTGTTACCTTTATTTCTATTATTGCTATTATCGTTACCGTTATTCTAGGATAATATGCCCCCAAACCCTATTCTAACTATTAAGGTCCCCATGTTAGACTCCTGGAGTCGCCGGCCCGCTCGCCGAGAGCAGAGCTGATTGGCCACTGAATATGGAGCTACCTCGAAAAAAGAGTTCTCAGGCAAGCACGAATCGTCATCATTATTGCTATCACCACTATCATTATTGTTATGATTACTCGATTGCTATATACCATTCTTTAATTCTTTTCATGTTGCAAACTGGACGTCGAACATCAGAGACGAAGCGAAATTCTGCGAGGTTCCAGGGGCCACGCCACCGAAAGCTGGCGCAGAGCCGGATGTGCTGTTTGAATTGCTGGCCAAGCCGAAAGTGAACAAGCCTCCGGATCTCGCCTCGGTGCGGGTCAAAGAGGCCGTCGGGAACGGATCCGAGGGCAAGCTCGGGCTTCTGCCGTATTTCCTTCATCCCTCTCAGCTCCCTGTGCCCTGCTCAAGGGGGGGCTCGTGGTCATCGCGACACTTGCACGATGCGTGCACGGTCCTGGAGGCCAGTACATCGGTGGCATCGATGACCAACTGACGCCTAGGAGGGCTGAGAATTCCACGGTACTCTAGCATGGCGGAGAAGACGAATGCCAGTTGGTCTCAGATCCACGCAGGACAGCATTGCTGAGCGACTCAAGCTCAGACCGCTTCATAACTTTGGCGGCTACGGCTAGATTGCTCGAACTCAGTTGACTCGGGATTTTCGTACCGGTAGTATATTCGCAAAGGAACATGGTCAAAAGGTCCGAAGCGGTGCTGCATAAGGCATATTGCACATGCTAGGCAAGTTACAACTCCACTAACTACACGAAGCTGAGCCAAACAGGATCTTGAGGCGGAACTAAGTCAGCTTCGGCTTGCATGTTCATCATGGAGGGTGCAGTGGTCTATAACAGGCCCTCACGCATCAGCAAGAGGCCAGAAAGCCTTTTCCGCACAGGACGATGCGCATGCCATCTTTCAAAGCATGCATCTGCCCCACAGCATGTGAAACATGTTCAAGGCAAACGTGAAACCTGATGTCCTGTAGCTGAGCTAGTTGGCTCAACTCAACGTGCATTCCAGGAGACCATGTGCATCGGCAGATTTCACAGGCATCTTGGTCATCGCCTGACACGGAAAAACCGCGTCAGAGGATTATACAGTGGTAAACCCTAACTATAGTCTCCATTGTAGTTCCTTTTTTTGGTTTAACCAATAATTACATATTAAGGATTTTATAAGGTATCCCCGAAAAGGAACTACAGTGGAGACTACAGGTAAACCCTTGCATGAAACCACCGAGGTCATGGCATCTACTCTACTCCATACAGTGGTAAACCCTAAACCCTAAACCCTGAACCCCTAAACCCTAAACCCTTTCATGAAACCACCGAGGTCATGGCATTTACTCCTCCGGCTCCTTTGGTTCTTCCAGGGAGCCCTGAGGCTCTTCTACCTCACCAGGGTCCTTTCAAAAGGGCACAGTGTGTCCCCCTTGAGGCAGCTGACAAAGCAAATCTGGGGTTTAGGGCTTAGGGTGTTTAGGGCTTAGGGTGTTTAGGGTTTAAGGTGTTTAGGGAGTTTAGGGTTTAGGGTGTTTGGGGTTTTGGTCCTCCGGCTCTTCTTGCACATCTGGAGGTGCCAAGGGGAAGAAGTTCGGGCTGCTGGCCGCGAGGCCATATCCGACCTGGCAGGTGCTCAAGCCAACGTCAATACGGCTGATGATATAAATCCTACATTACATTACCCATAATAAGGAGTATACCATCATTTCCCATAGCTTTGGTCCCTGAAGGTAATGCAGGATTTATATCATCAACCGTATTGACGCATCCAGCTGCACTGAGCTGCCAACATATATGCTCACGAACTGGCCGTTGCGCACCGCCGTGACCTCGAGAAGGAGTGATTCAAGGGCTTCGGAGTGTTGAGCTACCCTAAACCCTAAACCCCTAAACCCTAAACCCTACTCCCAAGGGGCTCACCGCACCGGGCCATGAGAGAGAGCGGACGTAGGTCACCGCACTGGACCTTCCAGGCATAGATTTTAGGGCTTATAGGGTTTGGGGCTTTAGGATTGAGGGTTTAGGGCTTTAGGATGTAGGGTTTAGGGCAGACTTCATACGGGAGCTGGGTACAAGACTCGGTAAAATGCATGCACCTCAGTGGGGCAGCCGGATCAGCTGAAGCACGGTAGACCGTGGCGTCGCCAGCCTTGACAGATCTTGGCTCTGTCGGACTACTCCATACCGCGATTTCTGGAAACATTTCTGGAGGCCTGCTTGATAGTCCACTGCAGCCCGTCTGTGTGCAGCCCACGAAGGACCTGTGGAGCTGAAACGGAGGCCCGAAACCCTGAACCCTAAAGCCCTAAACCCTACAACAGAGGCCCTAAACCCTAAAGCCCTAAACCCTACAACAGAGGCCCTAAACCCTAAAGCCATGAACCCTACGCAAGTTAAACAGAATCGTGAAAGCACGAGGCATAGCAAAGGCCTCCTTCTCGGGATCTGCTTCTTGCTCCTGCACAGTGGCACCCTACCTCCGTCTACTCTTATTAATTACGATAGCACTCACTCATGCAATTTATGCTATTGTTAGAGCTAACATATAAGCACTATGATCACTATTACTGCTGCTTTATTTTGACATCATCAGAAACACAAAAACCATCATCATCGTCATCATCATCATACCCTAAAACCCTAAAGCCCTAAACCCTAAACCCTAAAACCCTAAACCCTAAAGCCATACCTTGGTGCAAACACAGCTGGTGATACCAGCCAGCCTCGCGTCTCGACTCACTACTTTGCTTTACCTTGACTACTCGCGCCCGGCATACCTGTCATTAAAGATGATCGAAAGTTAATTTCAATTAAGTGATAATATGAACTACTTTTAATTATGTTTCCTGGCGCCCCTGGCTGCAAATATAGCTCCCTAATGCCCTTAGAAGCTTGCATGCAATCGGAACGTCAGAAACCATCGCACGAGCCACATTAGAGCATTAGAGCACTTCAGGCTAAATACAGTCGCGTTGATGGAACGAAAAGACGGCCGTGCCTCCTTCATCTTCGCTGCCAGCTCAAGTTCCTCTGGCGTGTCACCCTCTGGAATCTCTTTGTGGGTGGTGCGCCCGTTGCGGAGAATGTGAGGCCTGCCACGCAAGGCAAATCTTCTCGTGACTGCTGAGAAAGGCTCTTGCGAAGCAGGCCGTGCCGACTGCATATGGGTCCAAGCCTGGCGCCGGCAACAATTTGACAACTCTTTAGAAGGGTTTACCCTAAGCCCCCCAGGTACCTACTACATAGGGTACTAGAGCCCCTAAATCCCTATATAGTAGGTACCTGGAGGGTTAGGGTTAGGGGACTAGATCAGGTGTAGGGAAGAGTGCATGCCTCCATTTTGAGCAGTTCAGCCGCCGGTGGGCAGATAAACTCTTCGTTCTGCTCGATCGGAGATCCTTCTTCCTCCTCCTGCATACTTGGAGGTTCATGGATAGTTATAAGTAGGGTTATAAGTAGGGTAACTATATTTATATCCCATATTAGGGGACTTATAACCCCACTTATAACTACCCATGAACCTCCAAGTACACTTGGCGAACCCATGCAGCCTTCAGTGATTTTCCGCATCTTGGCTTGGCGCCGGTCCTTCTTCAAGTAGCCCTTCATGCAAATCACGGTGTCTGCAGTAATTCTTGCGATTTGAGCACGGAGATAGACCTGCTGTCATGACATAGTCAACTTGCACCGAAATTACAACAGATTGACAAAGCTGATCAAGCTAGACAGGCACCTCCTCCGCCCCTTCGAAAGCAGGATGCGTGATAACCTGCTGCTAACGGCTCACACTGGGCAGTCGCTTTGGGGGGTTTAGGGCAGCACAGTTTGCTCACTAAACAGCTCAGGTCGTCCTTGGAGCCGGCGTTCCCGGTCACCAGCCTCTTGATGGCGCGCGCCGCGATGATCTGTTCAGACAGGAGTGAGTGCAGCTTTGAAGCAAAAGTCCTTGCACTGCCTGACTTCCTCAACCGGCTTGGGTCCAGCTGCCTCTTTGGGCTTGATGTCCGGCAAACGTCGCCAGTCGCCGGCCAAGTCGTTGGTCACATAGTATGTAAACTGGTTGGCGCCTTGTCCTGCGATATGTATGAGAATCACAAGAGCCGCGGTTCCTACCGTAACACATTCCGACTGTTACAAACCCACCTTGCCTGTTGCTTGACTGTGGGGGTGCGTTTGAGCCCTCACATAAACCATAAACCCAAAGCCCTCTTAGGCCCTAAACCCTAAAGACAGAGCCTGGAGGTTCTGCATCGGGGTCCGTTTCGTCAGGCTCCCCACCATCTTTCTGGGCCTGAGCTCTTCAAAGCTTTAGGGTTTAGGGTTTTAGGGTTTAGGGTTTTAGGGTTTAGGGTTTAGGGTTTAGTGTCTCGCGGGCCTCTGCCACGTAGTAGTCAGCTTCCGTCCCGAAGATCTATCGGGGGACAAGGGCGCAGAGAGGACGGCCACATCCCATCACAGGAAAAGCACCCGCCTTGCCCCAGAATCTGAGCTTGTTGAGGCCGTCTTTTTGATTCGCCGCCAAGTTCCGCATGGAGCACATCACCTCAAAGGAAAACCCCAAACCCAAAACCCCTCTGAACCCTAAACCTTAAACCCCTCTAAACCCTCGACCCTGAACCTCTCTAAACCCTCAACCCTAAACCGCTCGAAACCCTCAAGCTCAGCCCTTGTTTGTTATCCCTACACCCTAAACCCTAAACCCTCAGCCCTTGTTTGTTATCCCTACACCCTAAACCCTAAACCCTCAGCCCTAAACCCTAAACCCTCAGCTCTTGTTTGTTATCGGCCTTGTAGGACTCTGCTTCGCCCAGACCAACTCCAGCCTCCGAGCCGGGAGGTCGGATTGAGGCCCAGGGCCCACGTCGGGCGGCTCAGGTTTAGGGTTCAGCGTTTAGGGGTTTAGGGTTAGGGTTCAGGGTTCAGGGTTTAGGGTTTGAGGGTTTCAGGGTTCAGGGGCTTTAAGGCTTTCGAGCTTTTAGAGTTTGGGTTTGTTGGGTTTTGGGGTTTTTCGGGGTGCTCGAGTTTAGGATTTACATAAGGCCTAGGGTTCGTGAGACCGCCGGGGGCGAGGCCCATGAGAGCATCTCCGCATCCTCCGTGAAGTCGGGGATTCTGCGGGCACCAGCAGATTCGTCTTCGGAGAAACAGAGGGTTTAGGGCTCAGGGTTTAGGGGAGACTCGGTGCCGTCAGCATCCACAGAAGCTTTTTTGTTTTACAGCCTTTTAATTCCAAGCAAGCGGACGCACCCTGCCCAGTCGTTTCACGCATACGCATAAGCATTGTCGAGCTTGCCATACTTATCACACAGCTCGCAAGATCTCGCAGGACTTTGCCCGCTGATGCCAGGAGGAGTCATAGCCTTGCTCCGGGATGCCCTCACAGGCCATCTGGATATCTCGGCACAAGCAACACGCGTCGGAGTGCTGGGATCTTGCGATGCTGAGATTGCGATGTAAGGTGCAATAGAAGCAACGCTGAAGGTTCTGTGGAGCGCACCTGCCCGGCGCAAGGAATGGATGCTCCATGGCCTTCGACACGGACAGCAACGAGCAGGATTGATATCGGGGCTGTTGCAGACAGGCAGATTGGATTACATTAGAGTAGAATTGAACAGAGTAGTATATGATTTATTAACAATTAGCAAAGCAGTATAAATATAAATACTTAGTTGTATACCTACAGATGTTATAGTAATTCATAATTCAATAAGAATGAAAAGGCAACATGAAAACAAGATAGCAAACGAACGATAAAATAATGTGCCTCAGCGGCAGTTGGTCTCTGAGCAGGATCGAGCCTCGGAGCAAAACAACAGAAAGCGTGCTCTCAGAACCTTCCGTCCGGCATCCTACATGCGGTTAGAGTCAGGTCCTGGTTTAGGGGTTATAGGGGTTTTTGGGGTTATAGGGTTTAGGGATTATAGGTGAGATTTTGACAGGGTTTTGGGTACCAGTAGGCTGGAAGCAGGCCCTGGACTTCGAAGGCAAGACACTGCAGCAGCTTCTCAAGGAAATCCAGCAGCAGCTCATCGTTGGTGCCTCAGTGGCTGTGGCTCACACTGGCTCACACGCAGAGTTCGGGCTCAGTGCATGCCTTGCGTCTGGATATGACCACAGGTTTCACACACAGGTATACGCACAGCATCTTCATGAGATCCAGACGCATCCTCTGTCGAAGGGACGTCTTCTTTGGCACCTAAGCCGACAAGCCGGACAAAAACTCAGTCAATACGACCTGTCCAGTCGAGGCGCCAAAAGATGCAGTCGGCGTCCTCTTTCTGGACAGGGTGCTCCCTCAATCTCTTGGTAGAGCTGTCCATCCTGTGCCAAGCTCTCTACTCACGGTGCGCCCTACAAATCCAGTTGGGTTCAGGCTGTCTCCTGCGTGAAGTACTGTGGAACGTACTTTCCGCTGGTCATCATGTGATACCTCTCCATCAGGAACTGGTTGCCCTTGTAAAGGGGACTGCCAAAGTGCACAAGGAGAAGTGAGGCTTAAGCGGAAACTCGCCGATGATGCCCAGAATTCGAGCCAGCAGACTCTGCACCTCAGCCCCCAAATTCTTGATGTACTGCACTAGACTATATGTAATATAATGCAATATAACATAATTTGATAGCAATAGCAATGACTTGAAGATGTAACGCGCTGGTGAGTGCCGTGCCGAGTCATTCTGGAACAAGACATAGCCTCCGACACAGAAGGGAGCGGGCTTTAATATTTCGGCGACTACAACCATATACAAAACTCTAAATCCTCCAAAGCCCTAACTGCAAAAGCCTGAACAAGCCTACACTCTAGAAAAGGCTGCTTTAAGGACCAAATGACCCGTAAAAGCAGGGGCCCTATACCCTTATACTATGAGTCCCTATGGTATCGATATATGAACCTTAAGCCTTGTTAGTGTTCATGTCGTCTGCAAGGTCAACACAGCGGCTGAAACTTCAGTTTCCATTCCGACCCAGGCCGGCCTGTCCAGAGCTCAGCGAGGATGCAGCCCAGGGACCAGAGGTCAATCTTCTGATCGTAGGGGAGACCTAGCATCACCTGCAAGCGGCATATTAAGGGAAATGAGGGCTTCCGTCGTGGGTCGGCCCTCTTCCGACTTCCCGTTGTGAAGCCACTGCGCCGTTCCGAGTCTAGTCTGTGAACATGGTGTAAGCATGACCTTCGGAAGGCTACTTCAGCTGCCCATCGTTGCCCCCTCGGGCCTCGGGGGCTCGGTATGACCGGGACTGCACGTAGGAAGACAAGTGGTCATCGATGAAGCAAGAGGAGCCGAAGTCAATGACCTGCTCGGGAATTCACTGGAATGAATCTGAAGTCCCTCGGCCTCACTGTAGGGCATTGTGATGTCAGCACATCATATAAGATGCGAGGACTGTAGCAAATGACAAGACAAGGCTTGAATTTGAGATCATGTTTGGCTAAACGGCTCAGCGGTGTTTAACTCTTACCAAAGATCTATGACGCACTCAAGACTTTTGCAGGTGCCGGCGCCTTGACTTCACATCGGCTGTACGACTTGATGAGGATGTTCTCCTGGTCATGGCAAGTGGCAGCTGATTTTCGAGAGCATCAGATTCAGGAGCAGCTGAGGCGTATGCTGGCTTCAAGTCGCAGTGAATGAGCCGCAGAGAGTGCACGTAGTCCAAGGCAGTCAGGATCTGACAACGGGGACTCATAGCTTTCAGATGCCTGCCAAGCTGCCAAGCTTTGCAAGCATCCCGCGTCCTGTCTAGAGATCTTTTGCAGCCGTCCGATGGTAAAATACGGCTCATCACCTGCGAAATCGAAACAGCCAGGTATGCCTCTACGAACCCCTCTGCCTCTCTTCCCAGCTTGAGGCGGTGGCCGCACTCCCGATTGAACTTGCTGAACTCGTACAGGTTGTCACGGAGAAGCTCGGTCACGATGATCAAGTGCTCCTGCTAGGGCTTAGGTTTCTTTTGAGTGGTTCACAAAAACTAGGGGCATATTATGGGTTCCCAAACTATGCCCCGCATCAAGAGTAAAATTATATAGGGCTCCCCAAAAGGACTATGGCTTTGACATTTCCTCAGTTCCATCATTGTGAAGCTGTCTCGGTGCTATCCAAGTCGGCAGGTCTCTGGAAAGCGGCAGCTGTCCTTGTGGTAGAAGTGATCGTAGAGGCCTTGGCACTTGGCAGTGCAAAATTATCCGCTCACTCTTCCCAACGAGAAGGTGGATTCTTCTGCAACTAGTTCCGAATCTGGGCTGCCCTGCGCAGGACGTTGTTGTAGTCGACATCGCCGTTTACGTTGATGTACTTCAGCAGCTTGATCTCATCCAAGGATTGGTCGAAGAAGTCCTCACTCACCAGGGTGCAGGCCCGTCAACGGTTTTGGCTGAAGTAACCGGCGGGCCTTGTCATTCTTGATGATTTTCATGCAGACCATCTTGTTGTTGTCCAAGTCCAAGCACTGGACCTACAAGTGCCGGACACTCTGCGTCGGACGATTTGGGATTCGTGAGGGCTACTCTTCTCTTTTTCCGCAGACACTGCTGAAGCAAGTCCTTCGTCCAGCGATTCATCTCGGTATGTATCTACATGCCATGATAGCCGGCTCAGGCACATCGGCCTCCCCATGCAAAGCTGGCTGCCGACTGCCTTCTCCAATGCAGTAATCTGCATCCGACAGGACCGTCGGCAGCAGGTTGTCACAATCTACCGCGTCTTCTAGCGTGGCGGCGTTGCCAGGTCATTGATCTATCTGGTCCGGGCACATCGGCAGGGGCTCTTGCGGTAGTATCGCTCCGTGGCCTGCTTGTGGCGGCTCTTCCCCTCCATCCTTGGTCAGCTTCTGCACCGCATCCATGGGTGCATCAACCTTTGCGGGAGGCGCCTCAACGTCCTCTGCAGTGGAAGGTTGAAAAGCTGTCAACGTCACTCTGTTCCGGCAGATGCGGAGTGTCTCGGGACTGCAGCTGCAGAAGCCGGAGGCCCGGGACGTCTTGGTCAGGTTCCATGTTCTCTTTACGGTTCGGGAGGTGGGTTCGCAAACTCCGACAAGGAAGCGGCTAGCAGCAGTTCAAGCTCAAGGCTGCGGACAGGCATTGTTGACTTTGGGGGCTCTCGCGCTGCGGCTAAATTACAGGCCCCTTGAGCTGAAGATTAGAAGTGCAACGCGAAGCCCTGTACGAGTGCTGTAGGTTGCTTGCAGGAAAACTGCCAGGGCGCACCGCACGTGAAAATGCGGCGGATCCCAGGTACTCAATGATCTGGTACCTGAAGTACCGAAGAACGCACCAATCCGCCGCAGAACATTCCGCGGCAGCGAAGCGGCGCCTCGCCGCCACCACCATGTTCGTTCGGATGGGGAACTCCTGGCAGGACACGTCACATCATTCCAGTTATGTGTTTTAGGGTTTAGGGTTTAAGGTTTAGGGTTTAGGGCGGCCGTCCTTGCTTTCTTCAAAGCCTGTCTTATCCCTCTCAAAGACCACGCGCAAGGCGAAGGAGTCATACACCTGAGCCGCAGCTCCAGGCAAGCCGGCTCCAGTCATTGTGTAGATGAGCCCCGTGCAAAAGCAGGAAGAATGCCGTCTCGGGTTTGGGTCCAACTTCAACTTTCAAAAAAGTCGTCGTTTGACGCCCTCCTTAAGAGCATGTTGTTTCACCTTGCGAACGGTCTTGATACTGTCTGCACAGCTTGTTTAATATCCCGTTTGCAGCGTTTTGCTTGCTCTGCTCTACAGCGACACCGTTGGATAAGAAACTCCTTGACAGCTCTTGTTTCAGGGTAATAAGTAGCACCCGCCAGGCTCAGGGCAATCACTCTGGATTTCTCATCGTGCTTTTGGGCTGAATCTCGTATTCTCGTTGCGTAGCAAAGGGCCGGAATCACACGAAGCGAGGGTACGAAAACCAGGGGCTAGTTTTAGTTTCCTCTTGGGCGGACCGGCCCAAGACCAAGAACATAAGACATCCAGATGCTTCATCTCATGTTTCTTTTGGCCGGTCCGGCCAAAAACCAGGCAAACAGGACATCCAGAGGCTAAATTTCTGAGTTTGAGTTGTCGGCGGTCAGCCTGGCAAGGAAAACAACATGAATGTCACGTTGGCTTTCGGGAGCACGGGCCCTGTATTTCTTACGCCATCGCTATAACTCCCAACGCGGCCTAAACCCCAGAGGGTCAGAAATTTAAACACTACCCGACAACCGCCCAGAGCCCCACAACTCTAAGCCGTAGCTGAATAGCTTGAATAGGGTTTTGGGGTGCGGTTGATGATGTAAGTCCCGCATCACCCACAATGAGGAACATACCATAATTCCCATAGTTTAGGGCCCTTATGGTAATGCAGGATTTATATCATCAACGGTATATTAGTTACAACATCAGAGGAGCTCCCAGGACCTGTACTGGTAATTATTCAGCAGTAATCATGGAGGTTTTCGCCTCTACCCATAGGCTCCATTGTCATTCCTTTTTGGGACTACCGTGGAGGACCCTAAATATGAGCCACAAAGAGGAACTATAATGGAGCCTATAGGTAGGTCCATTACACTCCCTTGGCCTACGAGGTCCTTGCCCAAAGGGCTGCTGGCCTTGGTTCTTGCAGTGCCCTGGCTTCACAATTGTACTTGTGTTTAGGGTTTAGGGTTTAGGGCTTAGGGTTAAGGGTTCAGGGCTTCGGGTTAGGATGCTTCACCGTTGTACCTGTGTTCTTCTATATTAAGATTACTGCCCCTGGGTTGCTTGTGGGCTATGAACTTAAACGGTGCTGGTGCGGTAATTCAAAAATTCTAAAACCTAAACCCTGAGCTTCTTGCTGCTTGGGAGTACGAGACTAGCCTTTTCAAGAGATTGGCATTCTTGAAGCACCCGGGCTCCCGTGCAGCAAGTAAGATTTCAGGGCAGAGGGGTTGAGAGTTTAGGACTTTAGGGTTTAGGGTTTTGGATATTTTGCATAGGGGATGTTCTTCCACGTTTAGCCCTTGTGTGAAGACTCAGGCGGTGACAGAACCATTCAGTTCGACAGGGTAGAAGCTGTCACCGGAAGGCGCATACCTGCTGAGCTCCGCATACTCTTCCTTGCAATGTATAATGACCCGATGTGAGAACAAGTTTACCGCAGTCACACTTCACTCTATTTATGTATGTATATATATATATATATGTATAAATACATGTATGCGTATCGTCTCAGCTCCTCTATCTTCGTGTGAGTCCGTCGCAAGCGACCTGCATGAAGCTGCACGGCTAAGCAAGACGCCACCACGTTTCTTGCGGATGGCAGTGAGACCCGTCTTGCTGCACTAAGATTCTTGCGAAACGACTACTGGCGGGCAGTATGCCCTCATGTCGATCGACCTTAGTTGTCAATTGCTTGTGATTGAATGAGAACTCAGTCAACGCTACTGGCTTTCGATGAGGCTGCGACGGGTCTTGCACAAGCAGCCGGGGGACATGCCTGATTCTTGGACGTCCGCGTGTAAGCTCAAGCCGTGAAGTCCTTGCACACTCAACCCCGAACACCAAGCCCTCTAGACTCTATACCCCAAATTCTCAACGACTTGCCGCCACGAAGCTCCGGAACGTTGAAGAGCCCCTGAACACAGTTCTCACCGCACAGAAGCACCTGGATCAAGCTTTCACGGCGGCTGCTCGACTGGCAACATCTAGACCTGGCTTCTGGGTGCTAATAGTAGTCGTTATACCTATAGTCTCCATTGTAGTTCCTTTTTTTAGTTTAACCAATTATATATTAAGGATTCTATACGCTATCCCCAAAAAGGAACTACAATGGAGACTACAGGTACTAAGGAACTCCAAGTGATAATGGTCGAAATTGGTTAATATTGTTCAAGCGTTTTCTTACATAGCCAGCCTCCATTCCTTCAAAGGCGTGCTGGAAAGTGCGCGTGGTCGGCGGGATCTCAACGAGAAGACCATCCTCCGAAGAATCGCGGTTTATAAGGGTCTACAGAGTTTGTGGACTATTTCTTTTTCATGGTCCTGTCTACTTCGGGACCCCTGAAGTTTGATATTGAATTGCTTTTGAAACTTCAGGAGGGTCTAGGGTTGGAGGTTTAGGGTTTAAGGCTGCGTAATGCTCAGCATCAGAGTCATCGTCAACGAACAATCAGGCGCTCCAGTGATTTCTCCAGGAGTGGCAGCTTCTCGCGAAAGGAGCCTGGCGTCACGCAGAACTTTTAAGACATGTCAAACACTACGTCACGTTGCAAATGCACCAAAGAGGATACTGTAAGATGGGCACTGCTTACGACGTTAGAATCGCTGAACTCGTTGCCGCCCACCTTGCGCTGCGGATCAAGGAATAAGAACCGGGCGGGAATCACAAATTACCCTTAGGACCCGACTGGAATCACGCCCAGCAGCACACGCTTGTGAAACACAGGGGTGTCTTGACAGCCCGCTGCCAGCGAACAGGTGGAGAACCGTTCCCCGGGAATCGACCAGCCTGGCAAAGCTATGCTATAGCTCGCACATTCTGGTATATCACAGTATCTTCTAGTACATATTCCTATATTTATGGTATATTTTAGTATTTCTAGTGCATGAAAAATACAGTACATTATAGTGGATTATGACATATCATCGCTTTTTGTTTGAGACCTACTTGGGCGAGAAATTCTCAGGCTCGAGCGCAGGGAAGTGACGCGGCTCTTCCACAAAAGCGTTCGGTGAGGCCTCAGCTATGCCGCAGTCTCTCTACCCAAATAAAAAAAAGTAAAGCCGGTATTACAGTTATTAGAGCCAAAGAATGTGTCTGCATGTTCAGCAGTTTCATTGCTATGAAGTCGGTGGCAAGTCTGCCACGTGCGACTTCTAGCGCTTAGCCTCGCCAAATCAGGACGGGATGCAATAAACCCTAAACCCCCCAAACACAGCAGACCCTTCCCGAAACCGTGCGCCCTACACATCTCAGCAATATGCTCTGTTTGATGTGTGCATATGTATATACGTGGTGTATTGGTACTTATGGTCTACTACAGTATATCTTACAGCATGTTCTGGTCGCTTACGGTGTCTTAAAGTTCAAAATAACCTGCACAGGTGTCAGTGCCGCTACAGTGCTTCGATGCACGGAGTGTTTGGAGCGCAGGTCGTAAACAAGGACTCCAACTAAAAAGCTACAACATAATCCAATGTCGCATAGTAAAGTAAAACATATGGCAATATAATATAACCTAAACCCTAAACTCTAAACCCTATAGCATAGTCTCATCAACGCCCTGGCCATCAGAGCATCGGACCCGGGCAATTGCAAAGCTCCTCCGGCTCCATCTGCGATCAAAACCGGATCCCCGAAAAGAAGGCCTCCCACTCGCAATAAGTCCTGAGCAGTGGACCAGTGAGGCTTTAGGGGTTTAGGGTTTAGGATTTAGGGGTTTAGGGGTTTAGGGGTTTAGGGTTTAGGGTCGAGGCCCCTCGTGAAAGGAAGAGAGCCTCTTCCCAAGAGCGGCTTTAGAAAGGAGTCGGTGCGGCAGCACAGCATAGAAACTTCTATCCGGTCTCATGAAATACTAGACTACTCAGTAATTCTCTGCAAAATGTATTCTGTACTACACCATACTATACTGTGCTATACTATAGGATACTATACTATGCTATACTGTACTGCACATGCTATACTATGCTACACGACACCAGCTCACAAAGCGAGGACATGACGCAGAAGCCTTTTGAAACGTGTTATTGGGGCCTAGTAGGGCTACAGCAGCCGCTATGACAACAAGGGATACGGGAGTTTCCGAAAATAAGGGGTTCCTTATGTTGGGGGGTCCTTATAATAAGGATCCTGCTGTTTGGGGTACTATATTAGGGTCCCCTATTTTCGGAAATCCCCATATGTGTACGGGTAGAAGCAACGGCACTAGATCTGGTTTGTTGCGTGGCGAAGACACTGCGAGCCATCCGCTTTCCCCTTAAGTTTCGTTCTCAAAGTCGCCTTTTCAAGCTTTCCAAGCCGCGAACCCAACTGAACGTCGCGGTTCCCTTAAGTGTACTAAACCCTAAACCCTAAACCCTAAACCCTAAACCCTAAACCCCTAAACCTACACGGTACTTGGGGCCTAAAGGGCTCCTTCGCCTTGCGCCTAGTGGAGCGCCGGTTTTCCCTTGATGCAAAGTTACGCTTGAGACCGTTTGGGCAATGTCAAATCGTCCCTTTGCAGGCGGGATATGCATAGGTTATACATATATGTAACATAATGTGTTATCTATTCGGTCGACCATTTGCTGATTCGAAGCTTTGTATGCATGTATATACAGAAGACACAGTATCAGCAACATCTATACCATCAAGAGATCAGATTCTTAGGCAGTGGAATCGCACCTGCTCCAGGCAGCTGGCATTTCTTGGCTTATGGTTTGGGGCTGGTGCTGTTCACGCGCGTGTCGAACTTGGATTCTAAGGCAGTTTTGCGCAGGTGTGTTATCACTCCTGCTCTTGGTAGTGGTGGTGGGTGGGGTGGTGATGTAGTCCAAGCCGTCGGGCGACGGGGTCGTAGCAGCTGAAGAAGTATAAAGGGCAAGAGCAGCAACAGCAACAGCAGCTGCAGCGGCTGGCGGCAACATCATAAACAACAGCTGGACTTCTAAGGTCCGCCACTCTTGCAGACCATTCTTGAAACTGTGCGATCTAGATCCCGAAGAACCTTCGAAATCAGCGATCGTGCTGCTGAGACTTCCGCGTAGTGAACGCCGAGAAGGACGGCAGAGCTGCTGGAAGTGTGCACCTAAAGAACTTGGAGGTTCATGGGTAGTTATAAGTGGGGTTATAAGTCCCCTAATATGGGTTATAATTATGGTTACCCTACTTATAACCGTAACCCTACTTATAACTGCCCATGAACCTCCAAGAAGGCAATCCCTAAAGCAGAACCATCGACAGACTCCAGCTTCTTGTCATTTAGGACCTGGGATTCTATCCAGACAGTGGGATAAAGTGGCCCCGTCTGCCTCAAGAGGGCTGTAAAGACGGAAGCATCCGACCTTGACGGAAGACGGATGCAAGACCCAGAGACTCCAAATTAAGGAATATAGCTTAAAATAGAATAGGATCCCTAATATGATTTAAGGTATATTCCTTAATTAAGGGGTATTGGAGTCTCTGGGGACATCGGGCCTGATATGAGTCTCTGAGTCTCTCAGTTCCCAGACGAATAGTACATGTTCCCGTGAATTGGTGTTGGCTGCCCGCACTTAAAAAGTTAGCGGGGAGCAAGATGGCCTGTTTTTGCGTAAAGTGGAACCTGATTCTGAGACCCCCGGCCTGGGTTTCAAAAACACCCCTGGGATACATATGAGTGTTGCGCCTGTTCTTGCGACCTACTTTTGCTTGACTTATGAATCATGATGATGACTATTATAGCTACAGCTATTCTTGCTATTCGTCGGAGCCCTAATAAGACCCGAAGAGGCTCCGAATCAGGTTTCCACTTCTTGAGCCTCGAGGTTCCCATGCGATCCTCGGCCCCAACTGTCCGGCGCTTCCTCAAAGCACTCTTAGACCGGTCGGTTGACGCGAGAACACGAGGACCCTCCCCGCACCTGCACGTAGGGCTCTGCCGCCCCTACTGGTGGCAGCCGCCCCTAGTCGGTATGTGCGGTAATGTAGGGGCCTTAATAAGTACAACAGGTTTTGGGGTAGACTATATAACATAAATAAACATACATATATATATATATATATATGTTTGTATTTTTCAATCATTCAGGATCCTGGGGCAGGGTCTCTAGGCACCTGAAATCTTTGCACAGGGAGGCGGAAGCGAAAACAGGGTCTTGCTTCTCATGCCAGCACTCATTATGGAGATGAAACCTCTACCCTCCTTGAGGTTTACAAGGACAGTCGTCAACATGGGCCCTTTTCAGCTGACCTTGAGGAAGCATCCGTAACAAGTATGACGCTTTAGGCGCCTCCACAGCCTAAGAAGAGTCCTTACTTTCAAGGAGGGTAGATGGCAGATGATGGCAGCACCGTCCAGGAACAGTCTGTCCATGAATGTGGATTGAAAGCCGGGCTCATACTAGCAATCGGTGAAGCCTTTGCAGTCTGGTGTACCCACCTGGAGCTATTTAGTCTTCTTGGGTGGTTTGAAGTTTTTAGGACAGTATGATAGAGTTTAGCTGGTTTTGAGCAACTCGTCTCCTGGTGGAAAGTTGACTGCTGGCCTGTCCTTTGGGATACGCTAGCGAGCGAACACTTGCAGACTAGGAAGAGGGGAACAATAAAACCCCCCTGTTCGGATGAGCTGCTCGCCGTCTGAGCAAGAGGTCCATCTAGAGAAGTCCAATAACATGCGTACCCTTGAAGCCTTTCGTGCTCAGTCCAGCCGAGAAATGCACTCTCATGAAAAATGGCTGCTTCTGTTTAAACAAGCACGTGTGGTCTGTAGCTTGCTGCTAAAACGAGTATCTGCTCTTGTTGAACGAACAGACCGAAGCACCGTGCTCGGAATAAACATGGCTGCTCGTGTGCTCTGACTCCAGCTGCTGTCTACCCTAAACCCTAAACCGGCTGTCGTGAATACAAGCTTTCCGGCATGAGCACTGTGTAGGTCAAAGACGAAAACCTCCAGGCCAAGAGCACTTCAGCAGCATTGCTAGGGTAGATCGGTGAGAACTAAATAGCAGGCTGACCTGTGGCCACGCCTCTGTTAAAAAAACAGAAACGGGAAACTTGATAAAGACGTGGACGTCGGCCACTGCGCGGGGCCGAACCACACTCCCGTAATCTCGATCGGAAAATATCAGGCTCGAGGTCAGAACAGACGCCGTGCTTAAACCTGAGGCCACGCAAGGCTCTGCCCTCTTTGCCCATTTGCCTGACCCCCGAACTGCAAGTTGCCCTGGCCCTGGATTGGCAAATCGGAGTATGAACAAACCATGTGTGAATTACTCGAACCTAGACCCGAAAGTAGGGGTAGGATCCTTACCTTTAGGTACGAGTACACCGTCTTAATCAGGTGTCCATACAGAACCTTCCTCCCACAAACTGAGGGCTGGACCGACATTATCACGTCAAAGCGAGGCAGCGGCAGGTCTTCCTCTCTGGGGTTGATGAGTTTCCTTCTTGGATTGAAAGTCGCATCCACAAGCATGGCAAGGTCAATGCCCCTGGTGTCGAAGATGTCAGATTCCTTGGCCAGAGCCCGTGTTACGAGTGAGAAGTGGATGCCCTCCACATGACGTTGAAGGTTAAAGTTTCACACCCTCTTAACGGTAATCGATGAGAACTTCCGGAAGGCATGCAAGGAGTCTAGCTGAGCCCGGCGCATGAATCGGCTTCTGATCGTCAGTCTTGCTGTTAGCAACGGCCACAGCTTGAAGGTCTACGCCTTCAGCGGCACGTCTTGCCTTCTTTGGAGGTGTGAGCTTCTTCGTCGCCGAGGGGAAAGCGATGCGTCGACCATTCGACAAAATAACTGGCCTGATAGCAATCGCGGCAACCTCTTAGACAACTGAACCCTGCACATCCCTGCACCGTCGTCTGTCTAGCGGCCATGAGGCATGCCACCCTCATGGACATTGGACTTGTCGTCTCGGAGGCATGACTGACAGGTAGGCTATACATGATCCAAGGCATTGTCACCGTGGCACCTGCACTCGTCAGGAACCATCTGGTGCATCACATTGCTGTTGCGGTAGTACCTTACAAGCTGTCTTGCAGATAAATAAGTTGGTGAGAAAAAGCACCGGAGCTGATCATCCAGCATGCCACAGTCAATAATCCAAGAGGCGCAATAGCTTGCCGAAGTCCCTGATGTCGTTTCGACCAGCACACAGACGCCGGGTCTGCATCTATGCCCCATCTGAAGCCATCGAAGCAGTTCCTCAGCTGCTTGTCGTCCAATCTCACCATCCCACCCTAAACCTCATGGGTTTTGGGTTTTAGGGTTTGTCATTATCCGCTGTCGTGCTTGCAGAACCGGGCGGCCAAAAGTTTCTGACCGCATCGTGGTTTATGCAGTTGACAAATGCGTATCCCAGCGATTTCTTCTCCGCGAAGCAAAGCGGCAGGTAAACGAAGTCGATTTTCCCCTCAAATCCTGCTTAGCAGGAGAAGGCCGGGATGCAGCCAAAAGCATGAGCACGATCACCCTGTGGGCTTTAGACTCCTGGGCTGGGCCCTTGCCTGGCGTCCGGGACGCTCCAGGGTTTAGGGTTAAGGGACACCTAGATTTTTCGAGGCTCTCTGCGCCCGTCGTCCTTGGGCACTGAAAGCATCGCAAAGACGCTGCCGATTGAAGTGCAATGGCCTCAGTCCGGACTGTTCAGTCGCTCTTCCACGGCCTTCCGCCGAGGACATCAGAGATTATGCCACGGCCTTTGCACCAAGTCCGAATACCAAGTAAGTTGAACTTTCTTATAACGATTACCAGAAGTTGCGACGCTCATGCCAAGGAAAGGCAAGGATGGGTGGAGGCCTAGCATGCCCCCATGGCCAAGGCCGCAGCACGTTTCTGAGCATCACAGTCGTCCACCCGGTTCCGCCTCTCTCTCCTGGACAACCACCTGGGTGCATCTGCGAACAGTGGACCAACAATCCCCCCCGCATCTGACCATAGTATGCAGCACAATTATCTTAGGCCCTACCACACAAGAAGCCTAACCACTACACCAGAAATACCCTGCCAAGGATCCTTTCTAGAAGCACCCCTTACCAAGGTCGCTGCTTTAGCTCATTACACTTTCCGAACTCTTTGGCGACATGTGTTCACTTCAGCAACACAACTGACTACTTCTCCGACTTGCTGTACCAACATGAACAGGCAGACAAACATACACTTCCGCGGGGGGTCCGACTCTACCCAATAAAGTGTGCTCATGTCGTCCCTGCGAAACTGGGGCTGCAGTGCAATTTGGACTCATTCTGAATATGCATATATATATATATATATGTATATACACACATACAATATGAGACATCAACAAGGCTCAACTCGATACATCAACCATCCAAAAAAGCAAAACACAACGCACGAGAAACACGGGCCACAACAACGTGCCTTTCTGATAAAGTACCCCTCAATTGATACCCTATACTTAGCTCCTGGGCGTTGTATGTTTTGGGGGAAGCTCTTGTTGTGATGAGGACGAGGATCCTAGCGTAAGAATAAGTAAGAATGTCGCGGTCGGTAGTTACCCGATACTTCGGCCCAGGCACTGGCCTTAGGCCGGCTGGACCTTGGCATCGCAACGCCAAATGGCCTCGTCCACATGGAACCGGAACCGAAACCCACAAGGGGAAGGGTCTTATGGGCCCCAATGACTGTGAAGAAGCTACCGTCAACCTTCCCCACCGCTGCCATCTGCAGCGTTGCAGGTTCGCAAACCTCTACGAAACCAAAACCCGATGCTTGAGTTTTTGATCCGTGCCTTGGGGTCGATCTTGCCGGGTAGGAAGTGGAATCCGAGTCCAGATCAGACTTGACTGAGCCGAGCAGCGCCGGTCGCACAAGGAGTTCCGTGAATGGGAAAGATTTGGAACAACGCATGATGCGCAAGTGACCACGAAGCTTATGTAATGTAGGGGCATCAATAAGTAGAATAGGGTTTTGGGGCCCATTATACTGTAGTTATAATAACGCGCCAAACGCGCATTCGCGCGCGCAAGATCAACATTTCCAGGAGTGGAATCATCATGATCATCGTTGTCAGGATCATCATCATGAGGTGTAGCAGCAGCAGCAGCAGCACAGCAACATCCTGAGGAGTGCAACCAACCATCATCACCATCGTTATCATCATCATCATCATCATGAGGTGTAGCAGCAGCAACGGAGTGATTGGACTTCAATGTGACTTGCGAGAATCTATACACCTCAGCCTGGAGACAGCATATATGAAAGCAGAACACGCACACAAACGCAAACGGATTTTCATTCAAAACTATTGCACAAAAGTTTGCCCACATGTTCAGTTCCCTCTCCAGATGGAACGCATACTGCACGAAGATGTGCAGAGCTTTGCTCCACTTGATGCCAGCAATGGCATTATGCGGCTTGATGTTGACAAAGTATCTTTTCCTGAGAACCGTATCTCTACGTAGTTGTCCAGACATGAGCATAAGAAGTACCCTTTCCTGTGAAAGGCTTCTTCTTTGGAAAGAGTGCAAGCGGTTCATGCTCACATGCTGACTGCTCAATGGGCATGGAAAGTGCTCTGTGGCCTACACCCTGCGTGGGCCGAGGCGTTTGAGGATAGCACTGCATGCGAAGACCATGAAAACATGCGTCTGCCGGTGTTTGCAGCTAGCCCCAAAAGCTGCGCTGTTGCGCGCGAACGTGTGTTCGGTGGGTATAATAAGGCAACCACAAAATACTGTAGGTAACTATTCAAGCCCCTATATTACCTCAGTGGCCAACCATGAAGTGCTGATTTTCGAGGAAGCCCGCCCTGTGGTGAAGCTCCTTGGTGCAATGGAAACTTGTGCGTATCGCATGGGCGCATGCCGCATGAGTCTGGCGCGCGAACCGCAGCAAGAGCTTCGGCAAAAACCAAGTGCGAGCGGTGCATCTCCAGCGGATCATACCTGAGCCGCCATGCGGTTCGATCTCGAAAACGCCCCATTCCGTAGCAAGTGCTGAGACTGCAGCGGGCAGCACCAGTGCGTGTAGAGACCCTCCAAAGACCAATGCGGGTTGGCCAAGATCGCAGCGGTCACCTCAGGGACCTCTCGGATTCCTACACCTTCTCTGCCCAGGCCTGTGTCGACCATCAGGTGCAGCCTGCAAGCTCTCCACGACCCTGCTGGAGGCTGGAGACACAAAGACCCCCGTGCCCGCCTGAGCTTGGATGCACAGGGAGGCCAGAGAAGTGCCTGCGTGCACTATCGTGCACTGCATGCAGTAAGCTCTTCAGTTTGGTGGCAGAGAGAGCATGGAGCATCGGGCTCCTCCTCGAGCCAGGCTTTGGAGAGCACCGACACTGTGATGCTCGCCTGCAGAGGAAATCCACTTCGGGCAGCCACGGAAGATCTTCCCGAGCCTGTGTAAGCTGACAGATCACTCCCTGCAGCGGTGTCCGGTACAAGAGGATGATCGCCATGGACTTCGGAACCTGCAGCGGGCAAACTTCCCCGCCGAAGCGATCAGAGGCATCACCATACCCGATACCAAACCCTAAAGCCCGAAACCCATGATGCATCCGCTCTGGAATTGCATCGGTCAGCCGTGTCTCGTGAGGTCTGCTGCCGGGAGGATGCAACACGGCTACATTACGGGACCCTGCTTATGCGCATATCATACTGCAGCAGCAAGACACAGGGTGCGCAACATCCAGATTCGCTTGCTTAACGAGTTGTCCGGAGGCTGAATGATGCCGCGCGCCGCTACCGGTTCCAACATATCTCCTAATGAGACCAACAAGGCGAGGGAAGGCAACTGGAGGTTGCTTTTAAATGAGGGTTTCCGAAAATAGGGGACCCTAATATAGTACCCTTACAAGGACCCCAAAATAAGGTACCCTAATTTTCGGAAACTCCCAAATGAGGAACAGTTCGTAGCATCGTACTGGCTACCGCGGACTCAGGCAGCGACCTCGGGAGAGGACCGCAACGTCAACCTTGGGATGTCATGATGGGAGGAATACTATAAAAATTGGTGTGTGTGTATATATATATATTGTACACACATGTCATGCCATAAATGTATGTATGTATGTATGTATGTATGTATGTATGCATGTATGTATGTATGTATGCATGCATGTATGCATGTATGTATGTGTATGTATATATATATATATGGAGATACAAACAGGTCATTTTCATCAGATATTACATTATAGATGCAGGGACCCAGGGTTTGCACGGCCTTTCAGAGGCCACGGCCCGGTCTGGACTTCGGATACGAACAAGGCATCGATTTTTGCAGAAGCCAGAACGCGGCCTGCGTCGTTTGTGGTGCAGGGCTTCAGGGAAAGCACCCTCTGGCCCTCTGGGTTATAGGGTTTTTTCAGGGTTTGAGATTAAGGGATCTGCCGCTGCAAGGACATGCAGAAATCATCACAGACTACGTAGACATGTCGCAATGTCGCGAGCCTGCCAGGACGGCGCCGTGTCCGTAGGCATTGGCTTTGAGAACTGCACCGATGGGCGGGGCATCTGCAGATCCCCTGCCACCAAGGCTTCGACCCAAGTAGATTCTTACCTCAGGGCATCTAGGGAAGACATGAGCACGATCCGAGTAGCCCAAAAAACAGTGACTTTCAAACGCTAAGGTATGCGCCAAATGCAAGTTCTCCCTCAGAACACGCCCATCTACCTTCCGCTTTCTTGCTGCGACGAATCAAAGATTGCATGTCGGAGTCTGGTCAGGTCTGCAACCGGCCTCAGCCCAGCTGCTCGGTCGTTCGCCATCAGTGAGATTGAGACAGACCCGATATGGCTCGGGGGCAGGAGATTTCCCAATCCGCCTCAAAGCATCCAGCCGCAACCAGCTTCGCGGCGACCAAATGCCTACTTAGGCTCATGCACATGTCGTCGCTTTCGGATGCCGATGACCTGGCAATCAAGATCAGTCAAATGTCTTCCTACTCCCAGGAAAAAGAAGGAATGAGACTCCCGGCGTTCACGATAGGCGATGTTCTCAAGTGTTGCCGCAGGGTTCCAGCGGTCTGCAAGCGCAGCCCCGGTTTGCGAGCAAGCGCCACATGGAAGCCTGGGCCACGATGGACAAAGACGCTACATGCCTAAGGCCCGAAACTACTGTTGATTATATAAATCCGGCATCACCTTAAGGACCCTTAACGATGGGAATTATGGTATATTCCTTGTTCTGGGCACTGAAGGCTTTATATCATCAACCGTAGTACGGCAACAGCTCGCGGCGGGGTTTCTGCCAAAGAGGAGCTGGTAATTACAGAAGACTCTCAGCTTGACAGCTTCGGACTCCGACCCGGACTGGAACAGAATGCAGCACACTGCAGCTTGAGACCTTGCCCAACTTCCCCGCCGAAGCCTCGGGTCTTCTCTGAGGCCGTCGCCACGGTCCAGCAGCCACTTCACCGGACGATATGGGTCGTAGCTGGGATCACGAATCACACCTCCCTCGGCACCTGAGACCCAGGTTGTGGACACTCAGTGGTGCCAGGCTCGGGGTCTCCTCCCAAACCCTAAACCCTAAACCCTAAACCTTCAGCCTCGGACCATACAGCTGAAGAATCGCCGTCACGTCTCGGGATCGCTGCAGCAATCGCCGGGCACCACGGAGGACTTCGAGCTCCTGCCTCGCCGTCACTCTGGGGCTCAGGCCGAACGCTTGAGATGCTAAAGCTGGTGCCAGGGTTTAGGGGTTTAGGGGTTTGGGGGTTTAGGGGCTTGGGGTTTAGGGGTTTGGGGGTTTGGGGTTTAGGGTTTAGAGGGTTAGGGGTTTGGGGTTTAGGGGTTTAGGGGTTTTGGGGTTTAGGGCGTTCCGAGGCAGCGGCCCGTTTGTATGGCTGATCAGCAGATCGATGCGTCGGAAGCGGATCAGGTCGTCCAGTCGCTCCCGCTGGACCTGGCGAGAGTTTAAGATAGGGGCGTGACATCAATTCGACTAGGGCTTCGGTCTAGTTTATAGTAATAGTATCGTAGGTTTTTATAGCAATATGATAGTAGGTTGTAATTATATTATATATAGTAGGTTATAGTAATCTTATCGTAGGTGATATAGAAATATTATGGTAGGTTATAGTAACATTAAAAACTACGTTGTAGTATCTAATAGTACACATGTAGACACCGCAAAGCCCCAAGACCAGACCCTCTGACGGCAGGTTGCCCGGCTACGTCAATCTGGCCGGCCCTGCACGGACTGCCTCATGGTCTGCTTCCTGGTCCTAATTGGGACAGAGAGTTTCTGCTGCTGATGATGTAAATCCTGCATTACCTTAAGGGCCCTTAACTATGGAAATTATGATATATTCGTTTTGATGGGAAATGCAGGATGTATATCATCAAGCGTGTCACAGCTATGCCGGGCACGTCTGGGGCCGGAGCTACCAGAGTAAAGGAGTTGGAGCTGCTTGGCTTGGCCTTGAGGTCAACATGGCCCCTGGAACCTCCTGCGGCCACGCGAATGACCTGTCAGGCGAAGACAAGGACGGCCGAAAAGTGACGAAAATGCACCAGGGCAGTTCTCTAAATTAGGGTCCCTTTTAGGGGTCCTTTTGATGAGGGTGCCCCAAAAATGGACCCTAATTTTAGAGAACTACCCACCAGGTGACCCTAAACCCTAAACCTCCAAGTGCTGCCTCGATCACCCCGGCCAGGCCGTTTTGCTCGACCGACTTTTGGAACACCGAAGCTGCATCCGGCAGCGCTTCCAGGGCCACGACCTGGGCAAATCGTAGCGGGCCTAGGCTTCAAGATTATAGTAGGTGTTAGGAATATCATAGTAGATTAAAGTAGTATTATAGTAGGTTTTAGTAACTAGTTTAGTAATAATTATCATAGTAGATTAAAGCAATGTTATAGTAGGTTTTAGTAATGTTATAGTAGATTAAAATAGTATTATGCATTGCCTTGATGCTGCGCAGAGTGGGTACTGCAAGAAGCCGCTTCGCCTCAGGGAAGCGTCGGAATTTCAGGATCACTCCGCTGTGTTTGAAGCGACTCCACCGAAAGCTGAGTCTTGCACAGTCCAAATCGAACAATCACCGAGATTGGCGCCGACCTCAATGACCCGAACCTGCGAGATTGGGAGACTGTCGCCTTCCTTGAAGACGAAATGAACCCTTAAAGGGTCTTAAGGTTCATCTACCATAGTATTCTTGATTCATGGTAGTATAAGGGTATAGGGCCCCAACTTTTAAGGGTCATTTGCTCCTGAAGATTCCTGATAAGCGGAAGAGCCGGCCACCTTGTGAGCCCGGGCACTCTGCAACCGCTTCGCCAACTTCTGCACCTCGCGCAGAATGGACTCCTTGCCAGCGGAGCCAAGTGGGAGTTTCCGAAAATAAGGGGTACATGACTTTTGGGTGTCCTTTATAACAAGGATCCTACTATTTAGGGTACTATTTTAGGGTCCCCTATTTTCAGAAACCCCGCAAGTGCCGGAGCGCTGTAGTCACTTTGTGCTGTGAGCTTGACAACACACTTGGGTTCAGGAGATTTTACGACAGCAGCATTACAGTCGTAATGCTGGTGGCAATGGTACTGCCGGCTCTGGTCGTTTTCGTTCACTGTCGTCGCATTTGCACCGGCTACTTCCAGGCAGATACCGCCTTGGAATTTAGGTTTGGGTCCTTTGTCGGCTCTGCTGGCAAGCTGTCTTGTTTCAGTATGGAATGGTCCAAAACCCTGCAGTCGCAATAGCAATCGGCGAAAGAAGAGCAGGAGGAGTCGAGGAAGAAATAGCAGTACCGCTGCTGCTTCTCCTGATGCTGCCACCAGTACTAATTACTAGTTCTTTTTGCTATGCCAACAACGACTAATACTTGCAGATATTGCTGATATGGTTTGAGTGAATATGACACTGGCGAGTACTACGGCACCCTTGATACTGACCGGGCCAAAAGTAAATGCCAAGACCGTGGAGAAACAGCTCCGAGAGAGTAAGTAGCATCCAAAACCATCAAGTCTTGGCCGATGCGCGTTGCAGTAGGGAACTCGTCTGGCACGTATGAAGTCAGATACCAGCTCTCGGTAAGGGAACAGCAGCAGCTTGTAGATGATGTCCACGTCGCTTCGCATTCCAATGTTTTCGGCCTGGCCGAACAAATCTAAAAGCAAACCTCCCTCCGTAAACCCTGGACTTGAGGATCTCAGGCAGGGGCTCCCATGAAGGTATGGCCCTTCAGCAGCTGAATGCTGACTTCCGTCGCACACTGAAGCCTGCAAGGAAACCACGCAAACTTCACTTAACCTCCGGATCCGATATGATGATCAGCTATAATCTCCCAGTATAATCCCATTGAGAGAGAAATATAAACGTATGTACATATGTACTAAACATATATATATATAACATATGTATACACACGTAGTTTTAATTTTACGACAACACACCATAGTATCTCGGATCGACCCCAAAACCCATACGCTCCGGCTCTTAAGGCCGAGGCCTATCCAAGAGCCAGAAGAGCTCGGAGCCACCAGGCCATGCAGAAAGCTCGTCCAGCCCGAGTAGCGATGATCCTCGCTATACCCGAAACCCTGAACCCGAAACCCTGAAGCCTAAACCCTAAACCCCGAACCCTAAACCTGAACCCTAAACCCTAAACCCTGAACCCGAAACCCTGAACCCTGAACCTAAACCCTACTGAAGCCTAAACCCTGAGGTCACATGGCACCTCGTCGGTGTTGGGAACTTTGAGGCTTCGGGGGGGCTAAAGCTTGACTTGAAGCTTTCATGGGGCAGGGTCTGGGTTGGGTTTAGGCGTTTAGGGTTTGAGAGTTGAGAGCTCTTCGGGTTAAGGAAAGCCAAACCCTTAACCCTAAGAGCCCTAAGGCGTCCAGGACTTTCGGGTTTAGGATCCGTCCTCGCAAGATCCGCCGAGTCAGCTCTTGAGCCTGGGTCCGTCTCCAGTTTGAGTTAGGCCCATCCTTTTCCCAGCCTTGCATACTATGGATATAGTGCGTCAGGGGATATCAATTGAGGTTGGTGGCACATCACACGTACCCCCCGAGATGAAAAAACCCTCCTCTCGTCAGTTCATGTTCGGCATCATGTTCTGCAGAACGTTCAGGATACCATCTCATCCCCGCACGCACATACCAGCTCTGCTTTTTTGAACAGAACATATGGTGATATGGGATGAGGCTATGGTCGAACCATAACTGCAGAAGAATCGCAAGAAAGCGCTAGAGCTCCCAGAGATGAAACACAAGCAGGACGAATCCCACTGCCCCATCCGCAATTGCAGGCACTGATCTTGTGACTCAAGGCCTCGAGTCTTTAGGGGTTTAGGGCTTCGGGTTCAAAGTTTCAGGTACATCTGTACATATGTCAAGCTTGTGTTGTGCAGCACCTCTGGAAATCTGCGAGGCCAAGAGCCCATAGAGTCTCATTCGTCTGGGCGCCAAGTCCACACCCAAAGTATACCAGACCCTGTCCGTCTGAATGGGGTCAATAAATTCAGGATGAGCTGTCCTACGATGGTTCGTGTGGGTCAGGCATGTGGGTCTGGTTGGCCGGTAGGTGGCGTCATATCCTGAAGCCGGCTCGGGTGGTTCTATGTAAACCTCGAAAACTCAGACCCTAAGCCCCTAAACCCTAAATCCTAAGCCCTAAACCCCTGAACCCAAACCCTAAACCCGAAACTCCCAAACCCTAAGCCCCCAAACTCCAACACCCTCAACTTTGAGCCTCAAACCCAGATACGCCAGGCACCTGGCTCTTTGGATTGCCTCCTTCACGTCTGCCAGGCTTCCTGCAGGCTGCCCTACAAGATCTGATGGTGCAAGCGCCAGATGTCTTGCGCAGTCTAAGATTGTATATCTTTTAGGATTTCAGATCGTGATTAGGGGCTTCGAGACTTTCCAGTTCCGGTTCTTTGGCGCCCCTAAACCCTAAACCCTCTCGTGCTCTTATCTGGCTCCCTTGAAGGCCTTCTTGCAGAGCCGCGCGCCGCGCCTGCACAGCAACTTGAATACTCCCAGGGTGTTGTAAAGCTTGAAGAAGGTTACCAGAAGGATTGCTGCCATGATGTTATAAGGATTTAGATAGTGCTACCATAAGGGTGCTCAAAGGGTTGCTACTAATACTAAAAACCACGAGAAGGATTGTAATGTTAATCATCATATCCATAACACTACTACTGACTACTGATAATCATAAGCAAACATGTCTACATATATATATATATATACACATGTAATTGCTTGTAATTGCTTCATTATATATGTATATATATATATATATTACTTCTCAATTGTACTGTCATTGTTAGTATACTGTAAAGGTTTCTGTCTGTAAGGCCAAAAACCTCACAACATCCTCGCCAAGGCGCCCAGTCTGCCACGGCCAGCGTCGCGTCCGCACGCAGCAAAAGATCGGCAGGACCTGAGAATTAAGCGCTAAGGGTTTTCGGTGTTTGGATTTTGGGGGTTTTAGGTCTTCGGGGTTTATATGTCTTGGGTTTTTGGTATTCGGGTTTAGTTTTTTGAGTTTTCGGGTTTAGATTTGTGGGGTAGGGTTTTTGGTTTTCGGGTTTAGATTTTTGGGGTAGGGTTTTCGGGTTTAGATTTTTGGGGTAGGGCTTAGGGCTTCGCGTTTAGATTTTCGGTGGGGTTTGCGGGTTTTGAGGGATTCTGGCTTTTGGGTAGACTGCAGACTCCTGATTAATACACCCCGTGCCTTAAAATGGATTAGAGTGGGGGGATCCTGATATTCAGGCCCTTCACGAGAGGGGGTGTGTTGATCAGGGTCTACAGGACCTCGCCGAACGCGGCTGTGAAAGGCACTGCGAGGCCAAACACCCATATGTTCACATACATACATACATCCATCCATACATATGTATATATACACTGTATGTAACGTGAGTATATAATTAATATGTCTGCATAAATTTATATGTATATATGTCCATACACACCGGGCCGAGGGCATTCTTCGGCTTCGAGAAGCCTCAAGCTACTGAGCAACGGGACGGCCTGGAAGGCAATGCAAAGTGCAGGCGGCATCAAAAAACCGGTGGGCAGTTTTCTAAATTAGGGTCCCTTTTGGGGTCCTTTTTATAATAAACCCTAAACCCTAAACCCTAACCCTAAACATACTATATTGGGGACCTAAAAAAGGGACCCAAAATTTAGAGAACTACCCCGGTGGGCAAAGGGGGCGCCTGGTGCGTGCTCAGCGCCTTCCGCAGCTCGGTCCAGAAGGATGCCGAGGCCTGAAGAGTTTTAGGGTTTAGGGTTTAGGGTTCAGGGGTTTAGGGTTTAGGGGTTTAGGTCTTAGGGGTTTAGGGGTTTAGGGTTTAGGGTTTAGGATTTAGGGGTTTTGGTCTTAGGGGTTTAGGGGTTTAGGGTTTAGGGGTTTAGGGTTTCAGATCAAGAGACCACGCCGAGTACTGCAGGGCCTTGTGCTCGTGGATTATCGACTGTCCCCTCTCGGCTGAATCCTCGAACAACAACGGTACTTTCAGATCCGAGGAGAGAAACACTAGGAAGCCAGAGGTGCCTAAGACCTGCAAGAAACTGGGCTCGTGTTAAGGAGCTTAACCGATTTAAGTTGCCACAAGAGGTACCCATGGTGAAAAAATGGTTTCCTTTTTATGGTAACTATAAGTTAGTTCCTTATCAAGAACCCAAGAAACTACATCATACTCATTTGATACACTGTATAACATATACTTTCATACGCTGTATACAACATACTATGTACAATATACTGTAGACAGACATATACCTATATATTTTTATATCCTGCATATTAAATTCTGCACGCCATATGCTGAGTGCCATATACAAGATGCTACATGATATGCACTTTCGCTCTTTTTACTCTATATAGTCTGTTTGCTGTATATGCTATATTAGATACGACATGCTGTATGCCGAATGTCATATATTATATGCTATATGGTATGCTCCAAATACTCCATATACTATATTGGATACTACACTATACCCTAATACCC